TACGGGAGCGACGCTCACCCAGATTGATGGGGGTCCTCAATGTTACTCCCGACTCCTTCAGTGACGGCCAGAAGTACTACGACAATGTGGAAGCTGCATTGAGGCATGCTCGGCGAATGAGGGACGACGGCGCTGACATCGTTGATGTGGGAGGAGAGGCAACAAACCCTTTCGTGCAAGAGCAAGTGTCGGTACACTCTGAAATACAGCGCGTAGTGCCAGTGGTCGAGGCAGTGAGGAGAGAGATGGGAAGAGATGTTATTATCTCAGTTGACACAAGGCGAAGGCCCGTGGCGGAGGCCGCGACAGCGGCAGGTGCTGACCTGGTCAGTCCCACGCCTGAAGTGCATATCTACGGCCGTTGTGAGAACCAGCTGTAGGAGCGCGGTATTTTCCTGCATAGCAGTAGAATTAGTTATCAACAGCATTAAATCGCAAAGGATAGTTCTTGAACTGTAGTAGTCTCTGAGTGACTAACCAGGTCCTCTTATAAGTTGTTGCCGCATGCAGATCAACGACGTGAGCGCAGGCGAGGTGGACCCAGACCTTCTCACGTTTGCCGCATCCAGAGGCGTCCCGCTTGTTCTGATGCACTCACGTGGGCCTCCGCAGTTAATGGACAGTCTGGTGCGTTTGCACACTGAAGTACTCAGCTGATACTAGCGATAGTAAGTGCATGCTGTAGACCGTGAATGGCGCTAACAAAGTACAGCCGCCTGTAGAGCGTGTTCCTGTTCGGCCCATAGGCAATCTACGACGATGTTATTGCTGAAGTGGCGAAGTACTTGACTGATAAGACTGAGACGCTAATTAAAATGGGGCTGCCGCGGTAAAACTTTCACTGAGTTCACTTGCACTCAAGGTGACGGGTGCAGAAGCGCGCATTGCATATACGTAATCCGGCGTTAGTTTTAAGCTACACTACATTGCTATCTAGTACACCTACCTTGGTGCAGCAGAAATTTTTGGGGCACGTATTACGGAAACAGAGATGTAACATCCTATTCCGCTGAGCTGAAATTAACCGCAGCAAATAGAAAACAAACTCTATTATGTCCCTCTTAGGTGGCGTCTGGTTCTGGACGCGGGTTTAGGCTTTGCAAAGACTGCCGATCACTCCTTTGAGATACTCCGCAGACTTCGAGATCTTCGAACTAAACTGCCCAGCGGTCTGCCGATGCTTGTTGGTCATTCCCGGAAAAGGTAGGATTCTTCGTGTTTGAGCTTCGCGTGGCTCCGCAGCCTAGCTTAGCTAGTGTAACAGTAACAGGTCTTTCGTCTGTAAGTGGACATTTACAGGTTCATTGGTTCGGCCATAGCAGCTATGCCGAACAGTCACGCAAAACAGGACTCACCGGGAAACAAGGTAAATGATGGCGAAGGAAAACTGACAGAAGAACCTATGTCAAACCGTGACGTCGCGGGATTAGCTGTAGCATGTTGGGCTGCGAAGGACAACTGTGTCGATATCCTCAGAGTACACGATGTCAAGGTACGCACTACACACAGGCAAGCTTTCGCGTGGCGCATATTAAGGAGAGTTTCGAAGCCAAGGAGGGGAAAGTACGCCACGTAGTACCCGTGCCAGCGCTTGCCCTATCAATATGCTGTTGCAAAGGACATGCTGTGCAATCTTGCGTTGTGCAGCGAACAGCCCTAGTCTACTCCGTCATGAATGAGCTGACGAAAAGGTCAAAGACAGACACTGAAACCGACTTTAAGGCGATGTTTCCCGCGGAAAGCAGCTAGCTACCACAGCTCACACAGCGTAGCCACCTTGTCCAGAGCGCAGGGACCAACTAAAACGCTCTTTCTGAACAAATCTTCCAGTGGCATAGTAAGAAACAAAGACAGGTACCGTGTAGCTAAGCAGGCACGGAGTGAATCACACCAGTCCACTTTGGGCACAGAGGCCAGACAGCCGCTCATAAAGACCGTGACGCCGAAACCTTACTACAGAAGAAAGCCCCTCAGGAGACACACATAACACAGCGAACACAGACATGCTTCAATCGATGGCATGAGCGCTAGCGCAACATGCCGCTATCAGAAATTCTGCAGTTGGCACCCCCGTATGGAGGCCCATAGCCCATTACAGACAGCTGAGTGCAGTGCTCTGCTCCGGACTACGACAGGGTGATGGGCGAGCCACCCCGAGCGCCTGCCAGGTAAGTTTAATAGATATGTTACACCGTGGCCCCACCCCGTGGCAACGGAAACGGCGCATAAGACCTGCCATTTATTTGGTATGTCCACTGAGGCTAAAGTGGAATTTAACGTACAAAATAATCTATTATTTGATTCATAAAGGGGGAAATTAATTTTTTCTAGCCGTGGAACGTCTTCAAATTGTTTTTCTGCTGCGCACCTTCCCCGCCCCACCATTGTGGCTTGCATGAGGGACAGCGGCTGCGGCTTGGCTCCAGGGAGTCGTCCACGCAGTAAAAGGTTAATTGACGCTGTTAGTAATGAGGGAATTCTGTTAATAAAAGTCAGAGCTTGACCTGTCCAACAAGACAATTTGAGTTATCCAAGCTACTCCTTTGTAGCATTTTATTCTTCCCGTCTAACCTGTGTGACCATTCTCAAGTACAGCGGCACGACGCTATCTTAAAGGAATAACCACGTTAGTTTCGAAAGATGGAGGGAAATGAGGTCAATGATACTTCGCCGCCGAAGGAGGAGCACGTGAGACAGTGGTTGAAACACTTGAAGTGACTCTCTGGGCTCCCTCTCCTTTGGTCCAATCCACACTGCAATAATCCGCTGGCGCTATGAAGCAGCTGTGCAAGGTGTCATCGCTGGTGCTGGTGGTTTTTCTGCCCTTTCTTCTCTCACGTGCTTGTGGACCTCTCGTCGCCCTTCCTTTGTTTGCAAGCGCCTCGCTGATCACCAAGGGAGGCAACTCGCTGCCTAGGGTGCATCGAGAAGTACCTCTGGGGAAAGAATTGTGCAGCATGCGGCTAGCCAATGCTGCACCGGTGGTTCCGCTTGTTGTTGCGCTTGAATCCTGTGCGCCCAAGCCCTCGAGTCCTATTTTGCGGGACGCCCCCCGCCGAACTGCCTTTGCCGCCCCAATAGGAGCTCCTAGCAGTCGGCTGTTCTCCTCCCCAGGTTTTGGCCGTCCGGCGTGGAGTATGCTTACTTCGAGATGCATGCGAGGGAACACTGACTTGACTCATACAGGATGTGGGGTGCCTGGAAACCAGCGTGGATACTTCCACTGGGGCGAAAGCAGCGGTTTATGTGGTGGAGGCGGTGCGGTGAACGTTAAAAGTCATATGTACCCAAGGGGGTGTTCTTTGTTTGCATCTGGCCCTCGGATTTCGAGGATCCCACTTTCAACCAAACAACTGAAGAGGTGAGCCTCTTGCGGTTCGTATAAGGCTGTGCACGCGATACAACGCAATGCGTGCATTGCCCGAATCATAGAGCACTGCCATCGCCTTTGCTCGGCATTATAACCGCAACTTTCAGTCTGCAGGGGTTCGAAGCTCGTTGACAGCAGCGCAGGTCTTTCTCGAGCTTCAGATGACGCGAATGGCGGACTGTGATGGCTGCGTTCCATCAGAGCACAACAAGAGGAGATACAGACAGTAGGAGATTCTCAGGTCAAGAAAGACGCAGCCTTGGAGGACAGGGAAGGACCGGAGAAGCGGCGACAGCGCGTTAAAGAATGGCGTGTCGTGCTTCACAATGATGACATCCACACGTGAGCGCATAGCAGCGCTGAGGAACTGTCCAGACATATTCGGCTACGGAACCCTTTACTTTGCTGAGGCATTACGCTCTCTGTGTCAGTTCTGCGCAGATTTGAATGCGTCGAAAACGCTATCACGAAGACACTGCCGCACATCAGCCGCGCAAGGGCATACGACATTGCATTGCATGCACACACCACCTCAAAAGCAACTATCATGCTAACGTGGAAGGAAAAAGCTGGGGAAGTTGCACTAGGTGCGCTGGAGCTCGTGGCCATAGTGGAAACAGTTCGATGTGTAGAGTGTATGTTTGTAAAGGCGCATTGCGGGGAGTTTGTGCTGCCCTGTACTGGTGCTGTTCTGTGAACGTAATGGGACACGTAAGTGCTCTTTACGTGTCGGGTGTGCTTTTTGTATGCGCCGCGCCCGCCGGCCATTCCTGGTGAGGCGAGCCAGCATTTGCGGCGACGTTAAGCTTGCATAAGCGTTGCATAAGTTCTTTACATTTGATATTCAGTGTCTCCTTCGTCTGGATCGGACTTTCTGGAATTGCACACTGGTTTTAGGCCTCGAGCTGTGGCAGAAAAACAATTTATTTTCCTCGGCGTCATGCTTTCCTCTGCGTCACTGAGTGGTCCGCATGAATTTGTCCCTTGTGAGGTGAGTCCAGCTTCACTGTGCCGTTACCTTGTTGTGTTTGTGTTTCTGCGATAAGCGCTTCAAAAAGAAGGCCTGACAGTGTCAGTTCTACCGGACAGGCTCTTCAACAAGGACAGCGACTCGCGGAAGGAATAGGGACAGCAAGCGTACAAACGCTTGCCTGCTCAGCGCGCAGTAAATAGCTCCTGGTGAAATCATGTAAACGCCTTGTATTCGTTGCCTGGGTAGGACGGACGGTGGTATTCATACCCTCCAAGCAGTGCGCTGCTTTTGCAGTTAAGCTTTCACGTGTAGGCAAGTGTGTTTCTTGCCCTTATCTTGCGTATAATTTAAATGGGCGGAGACAATTTAGGTACGACTGTTTTGTTGCGACCTTTGGCTTCCGGTTATCAAGTTACAAACAGATGCCTGTCCACAAGGTGCGCAAGCGAGGTGCTGCGCCAAGGCGGGTAGAATTCGAGAGCACAGGATTATTGTACTATTCATTAGTATGCGGTTTACAATTAAAACATTTTGGGTGTGAATCGCGCTGGTATCCACATGCGGAAAAAACAGCACATAGCGCGTCACATGGCTAGTTCTTCCCCGAGTCGCAAGCTCTGCTGCAGCAATTTTTCGCTGTAATAGTCAATGCTTCAACTAGTGAGAACCACGACGGGTCCAGAAATTTGAGAGCTGTTTCTTCAACTGCAGACAAAGCACAGGCACGCGTACACAGCGTCAACGTATACAACAATTCCCGTACGAGGTCCTCAAGCTCCCAACCAAGCGTTACTTCCTCCTGCGTTTAGTCTCACTTGGTTCAGCCCCGACGCTCGACCCCTTTGGCTCTCGCTAGTGCTTTCTAAGCGTCTGAATGAAGCACAGCAAGATCAAGTAAGCAGCAACAAAGTCGCTGAGCTGCAAAAATCTACGACTCAGCTTTTGATGCGCAGTGTACACACGAGACGGAATAAGTACGTTGCATGAACGTGAATGCCGTCCGTACAATGAGCTGCTAAGCTTCCGGACCTTTTCAGGATGGACTCAACGTTTCCAAGGCACTCTTTCAGCTCCTGGCGTTCTAATACGGCGACGACGCAGCCGTCTGGGGCGGCTGCGATGACGGTCACGTCAGAGGGTGCATCGTGCAAAAGAGCCAATGCATTTACGTTATCTCCTGAGCAAGCGAGAAAAGATCAAAGAACAGGTGGGCGGAGTCTGGCTGCAAGGGAAGGCGGCAGTCATTTGCAGTCTTGGGGCGCAATACAACCACCTAGTAAAAATCTTTATCGATAAGCAGTGCCCTTGTTTCAGTTAAATCTTCCTGCACAAATACACAACTCCGTTCGCACCTGGGCCAAGCTCGTCTACCATCTCTGGGCTACCTTGGCGCTCCACAGAAAGAAATGCCCGAGCATAGCCTGCAAAGTAGCGCAAACACAGACAGCATCGGTCAGTGAACGCCAAAACTTGGAAAGAACCTGTCTGCAGGATGCGTCAGCTAGACCAAAAAATATTTGTGGTGGGGTCTCCGTATTACTTGCGGCCTGTTGGTTAGAATTGTTGACAGCGGCTTTTAGTTAAACATAGGCGCACCGTGTACCACGAGCAGCAATCCACTGCATAGCTGTCCCTGGGAACAAAGGATTTCGTCGGGGAGGTATATCTTCCATTTCAGCAGAGCTGCTACTTGAACTCTTTCACTCCTGCATAAAAATAGACTGATTACTGAGCGATTGTTGCACCGCAAGTTTCAGCATGTCTTTTCAGGAGAGAGTGAGTAGATTGAATATCTGTTTGATATAAATAATTACCTTGTCAACGATTCTAGAATTGGACAGTGTCCGAGGTAGCTCATGACTTGAGATGCCCTCCGGAAAATGCAAGCTGAAGAAAAAACAGAAACAGTTTTAAAAGCATTTAGCATGCCGCAGCGCGAGCCGGCCATGGAAGCAGAAGTGTTGAAGCTACAAAGTGGTGCAGTTAGCTAGCAGTATTTCATTGTGTTCACGTTTGCTCCCGCTGCTCACAACTTATGACCTGTTGAAAAGAGTGAAAGCTGAGCTTTTGCAGTGTACAAGGACGAAGAGCCACGACAGAGTGGTTTGTTTGTTCCTCCCGCACAAACGCCCTCGGGGTTACGAAGGCTCCAGGGCCGATATTTATCGGGACTTTGTCCGGTGATATTTCCATATCGTAACTGCTGCGTCGGCGCGCAGAGTAGCTCGGAGGTGCGAGTGCGGATGTGTTTTCTTGGGGCTCTGTCGCACTGGCCTCTGTCATTCCAAGTTCACCGGAGACTAAAAAGTACAGAGTGTCCACCTTTTCACCTTTCTGGATAAGCATACAACCTCTGGGTATCTGTACAAAGCTATTTAGCATCAAATGAATGCAGTGCTGGCGTTCTTCCGCATTCAAAAGCGAGAAAACGGGGCTTCCCATAACAGCTGCTGTGAGATCCGGCTGACCGTTGGAGAGAAACAATTCAATGCGGTCGTCTTCGTCAACACAGCCCGACGAGGACTGTATTGAAAAGCCAGCAATACTCGTATCAAACGCTACAGCTCTACTGGACTGCGTCCCCCGAACCAACGAAATTGTTGCAGGATGCCTAGGGGACCCCGTTATATCGCTGCGGCGGCGTCGAGAGGGTATCTCCTGGGCCAGCCGGGCCTGAATGCCATCGACCGGGACGATCTGGTCTTTAACAACAGGTTGAAAATCGGAGGGCGAGCCAGCAGATAAAGACGGAAATGGCACGAGAGGCCCTGCTGCCGTTTGAGTAGTTTCTTCTGTCGAGCCCTGCATATTTTTAATACTGGGACTGAGCGGACGCGATTTGACATCTTTGTCCGATTCCTCGTATTCCACATGCTGTACATTGTAACTGCCGAATTCAGGCAAATGCTCTTCCTGCACGGCCGAGTCGGAAGGAAACGACGGCTTTACATCGATAGGAAGAGAGTCAGAGGGCGAAAGCCTGCCCTGTAGTTCTTGTGATCTCTCTTTCCGATCTGGCGAAGCTCGGCGAAAAGATTCCGCGAGAGACACACTTGGAGTTGCTTGGCCTTTCGCAGCACCCATAAAAGTGATGGTAGTCCCTCTGCTGAAACCTTGAAGGGAAGCAGCTGCAGGTTCCTGAGACGGAATGCCGTCAGCAGCTTCTACATTGCTGCCTTCATATCTGTTCGAGTCGCCAACGGACAATGGAATAGCTCCGCTAGCGCTGTCAAGGGGAGCGAAGCATGCACCTGCTCCAGAGTCGCCGTCACTGTCAAATATGTTTGGGATTGTCGCCAGTTCGGCGCTCTGGATGCCTTCGTGCGGCTGCATGGGCTCTCCCTCTTCTTGGCTGCACTCGGCTACCCCGGTGTCAAAGGAACGATGCGCTGCGAGACGTCCCTCTAGGCTTTTTGGAGGTTCCCCTTTATGGCTTCCTGCGGACTCTGTGCTTCCGTTCTTGCTCTTGTGGGAAAGAGAAAAGGCACTTCTGAGTTTGCTGTACATGCTTTTTTTCCTCTTGTGACTCTTACGCGTCAATGACAGCCCAGCTGTACCTCTTGACTTCCTACGCTCCCGGATGTCTGCGTCATTGGCCAATATTTCGAATGATTCTGTCCTTGCCGTCTGTGATCGAGTAGCCTGCTGCTGTTTCTCCTTGGAAGAAGTTGCAGACACGATAGCTGCATGAGGTGTAGGCGGCCACTGCTCTTCCTTTCTATCCATCAAGACGGAAGGTGAAGACAGCGCGTGCGTTAGCGGAAGATCATGCTGATTTCGCTCTTGCTTTTTTCCTGATAGACTCTCCAGAGGTCTACTTTTTTCCCTGTTAAGCTCCAGCAAGCCCTCCAGGTGAACAGGGGTGGATTGACCGGGTCTGAGAAGCAGCTTTTCGCCGCTCCCAATCAAATTTGGTACCATATCAGCAGCGGATTTGGTCGCTGTTAAGGGAGTTTTAAGCTCTTCTGCATCGTCAGACCGTGCTTTCTGTGCATTTGCTTTAGACTGTCTTGGAGTAGAGGCCCTGGAGGAAGCTCCAAAGATACGACCGACAAAAGACTTCGACTGGGCGGGTGAAAGCGACTGGTTCATATCTTGCTTAGCTGGTTGGGCTGCGGAAAATACAGCATTTTCCGCCGGTGCATGGGCTGAAGGTTTTATGTCAAGGCCTGGTAAGCCGGTTTTGGGCTTGGCCTCCCTTCCTTGTTCTGTCTTTGCAAGCTCCTGCTGGAGCTCGCTCAGTCGCTCCCGCTCTTTCTGTATTTCAGCTTTTTCTGCCTCCAGCTGTATCTTCTCCCGAGCAAGTTTGTCCTTGTAAGCGGCAACTTCTTCTGCCGTAGGCATAAGTTCGTGAACAAGCTGTTCCAACTTTTCTGCTGAGTCCCACTGGGCTTCCGTTGCAGACAGCTTCTGGTTGTCCACATCAAATACCGCAGATAGCTTTTCAAGATTATGAGTGAGTTTTTGTCTCTTAGCGCTAAGTTGGGACTGACGAGACGAGAGCTTGCTTTCCAGTGAGTTTGCCTCTTGCTGCAGTATGGTCAAGGCTGCCTCCAGCTGAGTGCATTCCTTCTCTAAGGTTTCGTAGCCATCGACGCTCTCAGTCGCATCATCAAATCTGCGTATAAGGTTCCCTGCCCTTTCTATTTGCTGCTTCAAATACTGGGTATGTGCAGAAGCGTCAGATGGCCTCGAATTAAGCACCTCTAAAGAGTCCTTGAAGTGCTTGTAGGCTGGGTTTTTAACGATGCGCAGTACACAGGAACGAGCATCTTCAGCGCACATCAAGGCATTCTCAATCTCATTGCCATTGGTCATAAAAAGCCTGTTGAAGGCAACGTTCGGCAACCTCTCATCTTCGTCATCTACATCTTGTGCGCCCGATGTGGCTCCATAGAGGCATTCAGCCCGTCGTAGATCTCGCATAAAAGACGCCTCAGCTCCAGCTATGTAGAAAGCCTGCATTTCAACCAGCCGCCCCCACCACAGTTGTTTAAGCCTTAAGCAAACCGCCTCTTGAATGTCTTGCTTTTTTTCCTTGATCATCTCTTGCAAAGAACTTCGCCGTTCCTGTAGCTTCGAGTACATGAAAGCGTCTCTCCACTGCCACTTCATAGCGTCGACCAACCACTGCTCAAACACTCTGAAACTGCCCCAGCCGCCTTCTAGTGGGCCGCCAGATTGGCTCCTAGTCCAAATCTGGGCCTCGTAGCGCTGTATTTCTGCCTCAGAAGACATGAGGGCCAAGCCAGGCGGTACTGTTTTGATGCAGCTATGCCGAGGGAGGCACTGCTCTAAGCTGACAGGCGTGAAAAGCTGGGCCGAAGGACCCATTGAATACCTCGCTGAAGCGCGCGAGTCTCCTTTAAGTTCTTGGTCATCATTATACGGCTCAACTGATCCGACAGAATTAAAGGCGTACAGCTTCAGGCGTGCTATAAACGCGGGGAGGTGGCCGAATACACGCTGATGGCTCGCTACAGAATTGGTGTTGCTTTCGTAGTCCAGTTCATTGCCTGCAACCATGTATTCAGGGGTTGATTTACCACATTTTGGCCTCCCGTACAGGAAATCCAAGGATGGTGGTCTCTCAAACTCAGCAAATACGCTCGTTACAGTTCCCTTTATCCTATCTATCAGCAGCTGAATAGTTTGGTTCAGTCGAATGCATTCTTCGTGGTAGCTGAGCAAGATCTTGTCGCGTGTTCCACAAACCTGCATAGAGGAAGTTGACAAAAGCACAGTTGCCCCCATCTACGCACAACTATGCTCTGGACCAATGTCAGAGGAAGGTAGCAAGCATGTTGACGAGCCGCGCTACATGGGACAGACTAAGTTCCTAAATCAGTGCCTCTCAAACGTCTCATTCTGCACTGCTGGGCCAGAGATGTTCATGCTCCAGCATTTCTCTACCGGACCCGTCTATAGAGGGCCTTGAGGCAATTTGTGTTTTCACGTAGTGCACCACGCTTCCGTTGCCATGCCTCCAGTTGGTCCTCCTCTCCCTGAAATGACACACCACAAGAGTGGCATTAACTGCCTCCCTGCATCCTTTACAAACAAATTACTGCACCGGCAGCCTGAAGCCAATACCGCTCAAATGGAATCCCCAAATGGTTTTAGTTCGTCGCGGGTACACAGGTACTGAATACAAAGGGTTCAAAATTCTGAAGGCTTGACGAGCTCGCACAGAGAAGGGCTGTAACGGTGGTGATACACCGTGGTGCGCCAGACAGGCGTTGTTAGTTTGAAGGCATCTAATTGATGACTAACAGGAGCAAACGTAAAAATGCCAAGGCAGTATGCGCTGTATTCAAGAATAGCAATGATAAATACCATCAGCCCTCAGTAGGTCGGCATGGCCTCACCTGCACATCGTGTTGAGCTGCAGTGTCTAAATGCGACGCATATTTAACTCCATTAATGATGCCCTTGACTAGCCCCACTATTTGAAGCAGTTCCGCCAACACGATTTGTTCTTCCTGGTGTTCTATTTCTCCAAAAAGAAACTCATCAGCGTTGTCCATCTGCCTTCGAGCTCTTGCAAGCGCGTCTGCAACTCCCTGTTCAGTTTCCGCTGTTCTGGCTGCTTCGGGAGGTCTCCCTTTTCGCTTCGGCTCTGCCCCTTTCGCCTCTATTAACCGCAGTATGTTACCTTCTAATTCTCTTAAGTGTACAGTGACACCATCCAGTGCCCTCCCACAAGCTGCCATCACATTCGAAGCTGCTGCAGCACTGTTGCCTTCCTGTTCAAATGTGTCAATCCATGACTGCGCCGAAAAGTCTGGCAGTACCGCAGCTTTTGGTGGAGCTGGCGAAGGGGGCACGCTAGGCGTATTCGGCAGAGGCGCGCCTGAAGGGCAAAGAATACGAAACGATGTGTAGTGATGACAGAAAGAACATAGGGGTGGATGGGGGCACGAAACAATTAAGTTTAACTTTACAGCCTAAACATTGTCTTGCTTCTTCAAGTTGCAAAAACCTGATTAATGTATCCGGTTGTCTTACATGCGTCCGGCTGAGGCTCGTCCTCCTGAGACGGTGCTGCCACATCTTCGATATGGCGACTCCGGCTTCGACTCCTACTAAAGCTTTTTGTCAGGAAACTCCCGAGACGGCCGAGACCTGAATAGCTGCTAATCTTCTTTATCTTCACAGATTCTGTGCTGTTTTCCTTTGACGGGGTTGCTTGGGGCGGCTCGTCCCCTATTCACACGAAAGACGACAAACGCCCAGTTGCACGGAGTTATGGCCTTGTTAAAGGTTCAAAAGTTTTTAGAGACACTCAGCATGGTAAGCAGCCCACACTGTGCCTACGGCTACCTTCCTGCCCCGTTCAGTGTTTTCTCGTTCTTATCCTAAAGCCAGCAACGGCCGCTGATGTACCATGTGTTCGCCGACTCGGGGAAGCAACTGATGGCAGGGTCATGAAGTGCTGCTGAGTGCATGGGTGTTTCACTACTCCCACCAACCGAGTTTTATCTAAAGCTCATGCACTCTCTTACTTGGTGCATGGCTGAAGGCATGCCCGCTTGAATCGCTGAAGTCTCCAGGATCACTGTGAACGCTTCTCGCGCGTTCGTTGTGCATTCGTTCGTGAATGTGTTCACTTCTTGCATGTGCTACGCTGAGGGAATGAGCTGTCTGAGTTCTGCGCACGCCAGCCCCGTTCTCCGCGTTCTCTCCCAATTCATCTTTCGGCTCAGCTCGTCTTGGGACGGAGTTGAACATTTCAGCGAGAGACGACGTTTCTTTTGTGGAGGCATTAGGAACTTCAGAAACCTCCCCATGAAGTTTACAGGTGCCATCATCGTCGAGTTGGCGACTGCACTGTGCTTGGGTAACCTCGCGAGATCTGGACCTTTTAATGCTGCTCTGTCGAATCCAGCCTATGAACGTCTTGCTGCTTCCCTTATCACCCCCCAAAACTCCTCTAGAGCTGCTCGCTTTCACTGTACTTCGGTGGCTCATGATGTAGTCCTGTGGTCAAGGCCGTGATGACCGCGGCAGACAACCGTAGATCTGACTGCATTTAATGACATCCATCCCGCAGAAACAAATGTTTGATTTGAAACATGTGTTTTTACGTTAAAAATGCACGCAAGTACGGAGGTCTTGGGAGAATCACATCACTTAAGCGTGGGAGCCATGTACTCTTCCTGTGCACGAAGGTGGCTCTATGAAAAGACTGACATATCTGGAGGCAAAATAATACATACAGAACTCAAATATACAGCTAGAAAACCAATACCGTTTCACCAGTACAGCTAGTTAACCTTGTTTATGTACTGTGAATTCATGAAGTGAACGGCATGATGTAGGGTGGTCGGTGCAGGACAGTGTTGGGTGTGATAGCTTGCCATCGATATGAATGGCTGGGTTCAAATGAAGTCATCCTCCTAAAGAACGTCTCTCTGTAATTTTTAGTTACATAATAAGGCATTAGAACCTCTACAAGCTCTGTAAAGATGTTGCTGCTTGTTTGACCATGCTACGGACTTCCTATGGGCGCAAGCAACACGTGCCTGCAACTCGATCTTCAGCGATTTGGTCCCTCTCTTTTCCTGTTCATGCTGTCGTTTGTGGTGATTTTATTCGTGATAGTTCTCAAGTCAAATATAGCTCGCATATTCGACTCTATCCCGGTCGCAAAAAGTGCCAGGAAATCCGCCGCAACTCGCCTTAGCATTCGCTCTGTAGAAATTATCTTACCTTCCCTTATTCCCCTTTCCCTTTCAATATCCGTTTCCCTTAAAGCAGATAGCTTAAAGAATATGCATTAGCTTCCCAGCGCACTAGCGTCCCGGCCTGAAACTATAATGTGGCACCGTCCTGCGTGAGTTCGGCAACGACCGTACTATTACGTGGTTCTTGGCTTCCTGCGGCCAGGGCCAACCTAGGCGAACAGTCTTTCAGTAAATTACTCTAGGCACCATAACTATCTCTGAACATTTTCTCGTATTTCTGGTCGAAGCATTATCTCCCTAGATGACAAATTTGCAGTTGCGAGATGGCATTCACAGGGTGTAAGCAGGGTGTAAGCGTTGTCGGACTGTTTGTGGTTTCCCACGACTCAATGAACTTCTTGGCCCACAGAAGAACTTGCCCTCGAAATATATCGACGTTTTTAACAGCGGCGTGGTCAGTATACACTGGTTAGCAAGTTTTCATCCCAAAGCCGGGAAAATGGCATAACGGGTCATGGAATGTCATTACACAGATCAGAAATATACGCTGCGTAGAAAGACGAGTTCGCATCCCCCCATTTGAGGGAAAAAAGCAAAAGCTTAGCATTTTCGAGTAAACTAGATGCAAAAGAAGCGAGTTCTCTTGGCGCCCTCACCTAGCCCTGCATCCCAACCTCTTCAGTTCCTTTCTTTCATTAGACGGGTGCGTGGGAAGACTATCAAGACGAACGGCTGCAGCTATTCATATGTATCTTAGTGCCCAGAATTCGATTGACTACTAAGTAACTAGCTAGGCATAAAGTAACGCATCGGGGATTATAAGGAGCATGCTGCAAAAGCATCGGCTAAATTGTATGCTGTCCACAGGCCACGTAAGCAACTGTGCAGACGGCATTTGAGCATTCTGCGTGAATGGATCTACCGTGAAGCGGTCTGCCTGCATTTTCTTCAGAAGCTTCGTGATGCTCAGAGTGGGAAACGTACGCTCAGCTCCCTATGTATGGCCGAGCTTTACTGACGAGCTTTACTAGGACTAGTTTATGGTGCTGTGCAAGCTGAACTACCCAACATTGTATTAGCTAGCCCAATTCAGAATCATTTTAACATCGCTTCGGCGACCACCAGCCAGTCTTGTGGAGAGCAGTATAATGAGCTTGTCGATTCCTGTAGCATCCGCTGAATAGCAGCATCTGCAACTGATTTTGCAGGGTTTTGTTGCACGGCCAGCTTCTTCAGTGGTTGTCCTAATTCCATGGTACGCATTGCGAAAAACCGCAGAAAATAGAGAAACTACTTGCTGGGGCAACTCAATTTCCTAGTTTATCGCCTTCTGTTTGGTCTGTCAGTGCCTCGCTACCAAGTCACTGTCGCTATGTTTGCTTCTACGTGGGAGTCCTTATAGTGTAGCGGGGGTCAATTTTGCTTACTTCGAGAGCATTCCTGTGAGAGTGCTTTGGCAGCTGCTACGCTTCGCAGTAAGATTAGAAGCCTGGTACGGCTATACATTATGTCTAGATATTGCACATAATATATATTGGCTGTGGAATGGGGTGCTGAACATGCAGGCATGAATTTGATGGCTCGCTATTAATAAAGCGAATAATGGCTGGTGCACGGGGTTAAGGGCAGCTTGCGCATATTTACTCATTTCGTCATTTGTGATGCTTCCCTACTTCTACGTTTCCTTCTTACTGTTGGAAGCTCTTTACGGGTTCACACAGGCTGTAGACCCTACTACGAAGAATGTGCTTGCTACTGTGTTGCAATCGCTCCAACTTAATGCGCCCAAGCTGTGCCCCCGCAGCCCTACCTACTGAATGTTCTACAAACGCAGAACAAAAAAGGATCTGTCATGAATGCTATTCTTGCGTGAAAATATGCGGCATAACGCATGAACGCGGATTCACGGTTTGACCCCCCAAGTGCCCCTGCATATAACGGTGGGAGGCTACGAACAAAAAGAGCGCGACTTATTGCTGAAGCAGCTCTATAACGGTATGAATATGCGTTCTACAGCACGTTTCTTTAATATGATGTGTTAAGGAAACGGAACGCAGCGCGATTCGTGCACCGGAGCTCTTCGAGGCCCCAGCCCCCGTAATTCAGGTTCGCAGATGCTGCTTGTTCGCTCTTGCTCTTCGGGAAGTTGCATTTGCGCATATTCACGTTTTAAAGTCTTGTTAAGCTGTTTCATTTGGCGTTTCTGTAAGAGAATTTGATAACACAAAGGGGCTGGCCCTATGCGTCTCGCTGGGTTTAGAGGCGAAGGAGAGTGCAAGAAAAAGGGATGCCCTTCTCCGTCTTTTTTGTAGCCCACATTTCTCCCCGCTTTCTGTTTTATCAACTATATATATATTGTTAAAAGTCGAGAAAGCTATAAAAGCTTGCTAATCGATATCCAGTGCCTCTATGGCAGCTCTCTCGGTTCCAGTGCACGTACGCTTCGATTTGCGATCAGAGATCGAGTCGCCCTTGGCCTCTGCTTATGGCAGTTGAACTTTCGCTTTTTGTGGCGTCACTGGCATCTCATTTGTTCTCAAGGTCGAAGTTTATCCTTCACCTAAGTTGCTTCGCTCATGGCATGCGACGAGACAGTAGGGGCATAGGGTTTCCTATTTCCTCCAGCATGAATTCTTAATCCCAGGCCCTGAGAGATGGAGGCCCGGATCTGCGATGGACAGGCTGTCTCTTTTGTGCGTCCTCGCCGTACATCTGTTGGATTACAAGGGGTTAGGCCGTCGAGCTGCTGTGCTTCAGCTGACTTCGAACCGTATGAGAGATCCAGTCATGCACTAAGACGCAAGTGCAGGCACGTAATGCTCAAGTGCACTCTACTCGCATTTCTGCTTATCTCATGCCTCTCTGCGGGATATATTTTGGGCATCCTATACCCTCCTGCGGCGCTTGAGGTGAGTGAGTATCCTCCGGGCCTTCGCGACGCCGTCGGGCTGCTGCTTTTCGTGCGTTTGTCTTCATACAACACTCCTAGTGTATGTGTGCGTTTACTTCGGCTCCTAGATAATGCGTTTGCTACTGTGGGTTTTCTTGTATCCATGCAGCGGCGGAGCCCAGCATCCGCTGGATGGTCTCAGGTGCGGCGCCGGCTGTCGGCTTCAGGTGGTGACGAAGGCAGCAGCGGCGAGGACAATGCAGGCGTCTCGAAAAAGGCTTCTGTAGGGAAGGCGAGTGATAATGAGGGGACAGCGAGACAAAGCAATGGCGGGGGGAGTGGAGCGGAAGTGACAGACGATGCAGCAGCAGCCGCTGCAGGTACATCCTCTACAGAGTTGCCACCACCCGAAAGCCCCACGGCTCCACTGCATGACTTCGATGTGGAGAAGGATGCAGAGAAGGTGGCGATTACAGGCACACCGTTGCCTTCCTCAGCAGTTAATACTGCTGGGGATGGGATGGATAACACCTCTGGGGGAAAGGGAAGTTCGGCAAGGAAACAACGTCGCCGGAAGAGGAGGAGCGATTTGGTCAATGGTGAGGCCATTAATAGGATGCAGCCATACAGCTGAGCGAAGGAGTCTACGGTTATACACCCCACAATAGATGGAGCTACCTGTCATACATGGAATATAGCCTTTCATAGATGGAAACTAGCATATTTACGGGCTACCGACTTAGTGTGTGTCGACAAAAGAGGTAGTTCAGTTTTGCTGTCATCCCTTTGTAGGACCTGACCCCCATACATACCGAAAGGAGCTTTGTTCGATGCTGCGGACGGACGCGACGCTGCAAGTGTGGTTTGCTCTTGTTGTTCTGTACGTCGCGGAGTGGCCAACGTACGCGCGCCATGGCAACGGGGGAGATGCGTATTTGAAGTATTTGAGGGACTTAGCACAGAAATTTGAAGTGCCTAGGCACGCTGCTGTACAGGTCCAAATGCTTTTCGCCGAAGAGCTCTCCTGCGGCACACCGTCGTTTTTTTTGGGGGGGGTAAGTAGGATATCCAGATGAGTAGAGTCGGGGACAGTGAGACGTGGTGTGCCCAACAAATGTGCCAGTGCTTTCTCTGCGTTGATAGAGTGCAACACACCTATCCACTCGCTTTCATGGGTAGCACAAGCACTCTTAGAGTGCTTGTGCTTCCGTGTGCACTATGTCGAAGTGGTCTGGTTGGTCCACACGTATTTGCAATGTTACGCAGCCTATGTACCTCACTTTGCAAGGTCTAGGGGTGCAGCTCTGGTCTCAGCAGATGCACACGCATGTAGCTATCTGAGCACACTTTGTGGAAGTGACAAATGCCAGAACTCGGTTCGCACATTAATTCTCCAGGGAGACTAACTACGTGCACGCAGGAGGCTAACTACGTGCACAAGGCCGGTCATTTGCTGCTTGTGTTACTTGGTATGCAGTTGGAAACGGTTGCAAAGGACATTCATCGCCATCACGACTTAATTAATGTGTTGCGGAAGTACAGGGAAGAGCAGGACTTTGCGGATCTCATTGACTACACACAAGTCACCAAGCTACCTGCCGATGTTTCTATCTCTGGCTTTCCGATGATTCTCAGAACAGCCTTTGAAGGATTTGCCTTTTGTTTCAGCAGAAACTTGTATATCCGACCTGAGAAGAAAGGAGATGACAAGTCATCTAGAAGAACAGAAGGAACAGGTAGGAAAACAGACACTGGAGAGATTGGACGCGACGTTGTGTCGTTCTAGCTGCGTTTTCTTTTGTCGAGCATTTGCTCCCTCTTATTGAGCATCTTTAAATTCCAAGTTGACGAAGTTGGGTAGATTGATATGTGCGCTTCGTTTTAGCTTGTTATGAGGCATTTACCACTACCGCTCCACTCGTCTTCGTTCGCGGGACGAGTACTATGCCTTTAGTGTACTGTGTTTCAGGTGTGGGGGCCTAGGGATCTTTGCGCATTGTCGATGGCTGTGTGTTTTGGTGTTCAGGGGCTTTGACAATGAGCGATTTTTACAATACTTACGTCCGACAGTATCAGCACAACCAATTTCAGTATTGGTTACTTCTAATGATGGCAAGTGTCATGAAGAGAGTCGTTTCTGGAAGGTAAGAGGATACAACTACCTGCATGGTAAACAACAGAATACGACCCCGTAGCTATAGCTTGTGGAGAAGTACCCTTTTCCGGAGTATCGGCGTGGCTGCTCTTACTCTCTTGGCAGTGGACTTCACGTTTTTGGGAAGCTTGCTTGGGTGGTGCATAGAATCTGAAGATATTGTGGGTCCGTTCCAGCGCAAGACGGTAACCAGAAGTTTGTGGTTTTAGCTGTTTGTCGTTGTAGACTACATTGGGGAGACTGTTTTCCACTGGCGGTATTCTGCCTCACTTTTTCGCAGGCCGCATGCGGGCTTTATGGTGTTGAAGTTTAAGTCGGCTCAGGCGCTGGGAATGAACCGTGGGCGTGGAATGCATGAGCTGGACAAAGCTGCGATCGATTCTCTGCAGCGGCAGGTGGCTGCAAGTGTTGAGGGGAAGCTGGATCGTTCCCTACAGCGTTTCCAGAACTTTCAAGTTGTTCAGGGGCCTTTGTTTTCCACTACGTCGGCCATGAGACCGACTTTATCCGTCACAGGCTATTTAGAGCGCACACAGGCGGGGTCGTTCATAGATCACGGCATCTTCGGGATGGACATGGACTTAGACACCTTGGAAGAACTCAAGGAACGGATGGAACCTGGAAACCTTCTTGTAGATGTTTCCCTTGTGGACCCCTGGAGTTCGAGGCCCGCGTCTGAATGGCCAGATCCGCTGCAGCGGGATGTACTAGCACTAACGGCGTACACGGCAACCCAGTTGCTGTGTGCAGAGCTGCAGTGGGATCCATCTCTCGGCAATCTGGGCCATGTCGAGGTCGTATATTCAGGCTTTGCCGATGTATATGACTCCGCTGCCTCTACACAGCAGTCTAAGGCGAAGTTTGACCCAGATGTGCAGGTGCTGCTCTTGCGCGACAACCAGAAATTTGTCGAGGACGGGCTGGAGGAAGGAAGCAAGGAGAAAATCACGAATCTCGTGGCGCAGGAACCACTTCAGTGGGGACAAGAAAGAGTAATCGACGCAGAGAGGATTCAGTGGAAAGGAGTTGCCAGATTATTGCGGGGCGGTCAGCTGTACAGAAAAAATGCGTTCGGAACAGGCTTGCCCCCCACGCTCCGCAGGAACGCTGAAGATCTCTTGAAACCAAATGTTGTTCTCATTCACATTGTCATTCAAGGGCTAGGGGACTTAACCCCAGATACTCTAGGGTTCGACATGACGGCAAGTGAAATGGCTAGTCGGCTTGTAAGGAGATGTAGAGGTATCTATGACCCCGTCCTGCTGAAGTCTGTCACGCCCTTTGTAAAAGTAAGCTAGACACATCGGTGTTCCTTAACACTGTAGCGATAAGGAAGTCTAGTAAGGTATGAGCACTCGCGATTGGATATTTTAAACGAGAATACAGGCCTCGCTTCCATCGGAAGTTCCCGAAGGACACCAACCCCACTTGCGCCGTATGCTCTAACGTATTTTCAGGAAATGCAGGTGAAAAACGAACGCATGTGCGTGGGAGATATGCCAAAGTGGGTGGTACTGGTGTCAACGCTGGGCGTCGCACTCTTCTTCATTATACTGATCACGCTGTTGCTGTACCACGACAAAATAAAACTCCCTTGGTGGATAATGTGCATCTGCAGCAGCCGTGCTCCTTGGGAAGAGTCCTCGCCCGTAGCCTCCAGCATGTCGAACGCGTTTCCACCTGAAGTCTTCGAAAAGCAGAGCAATTCTACTCGCGAGATTATTGCTTTCGCTCCCCCCCTGAAGGAGATGACCTCCAGCCTGTCGTGAACACGACGTTACTATGGCACTGTAGCAATAGCAGTGTGTAGCAGTTTGTGTGCAGTGTAGCAGTTGTGTTAAAAACCCCGTTCCACGGCTTAATTTTTTAAAGAGCAATTCTTGCGCATTTGTTTGTGGGGAGCTACATCCTCCAGCCACGTAGCTTCATTTTTTTAATGGATGTTTTCACGCACTTCCACCGCCTGGCTTTTTCACTCGCAAAGTTGCAGGAGCGCCTCTGCCCTGCGCCTGGGGCTTTTGGTTTTTACTTTGGACGCTGCACTTCATGTGAAGCATCCGCCACGGAGTAAGAGCAAACCGACTGCGGGCAGGGCCACCAGGGTAAACCGACAGGAAAGGGCAGTACCCTGTGGCTTGATTACGCTTACGCACAGCTTGCTACGGAGACATGAGAACAACACGGAGACAGAACAACATCCACGCAGCCCGGGCGCATTGCGCCACAGCAGACTGCGCGAGCCACAAGCCCTCAGCACCTACACGGCTACAAAACCATAAACCCCGAACAGAACGAGCCACCGCCACAGAGCCGCATCATCCGATGAACGAAGGACTGTTGGCGCCGAAGCGCCCCAAAAATTCGTTCGAGATGCATTTCAATGCGGCAGACACACGGCAATCTTTAGTAAAAGGCGAAAGATTGGTACGTAATGTGCCTGCCGCTGCATCATGGAAGCCGGTTGTAGAAAATGGCCACCACCCTATTTCGGACTATACGGCGAATAAGGACATAACAACGACGCTCAAGAACACTGAGCACCTCTAGTGTACATTTTCTTCAGAATTTTCTCTCTTTATGCACATATCTTTACTAATAAATGCTTAAAACGTGAATTAGATGAACGGGCTGATTGTACTGTGATGAAGATCGGTTGGAGAGCGTCTCTCATGTTCGACACTGATTGTCCATGAGGAGGACGGCAACCCATTAAAGAAGGAAAGTGACACTAAGCTCCTGTTTACAACGCAAATTACACTTCTTTTTGAAATTATAAAGGAACATGAATGTATATTTCTTCTTGGAAACGGGCTAAGGGCAGGAAGTGCTCGCGGTGCGCACAGTGTCGTGTTCTAGAGGGCTCGCTGGTAGCAATAGCCCACCAAACTGGCCAGCGATTAAGTTTTTCTGTGTTGCTTGGATCATTTTGAGATAGTTACAAATATCAGAAGTGGATGATTTGCGGTTGGGAAGGGCCGCCGCTTATTTGCTTCTGCTCATGCATTTTCGCCCTGCCACGGGCTTTTTGACGAGCAAAGATGCTCACGGAAACTGGACTGTGGCTTCCACAGGATATAATTAAGTCTATAAATAATCAGAACGGTTTCCAACAAGTCACGTTTACCTAGTGTAGACGGACGAAATCGAATAAGACTGTGGAGACTCCGAATGTGCCAGTTCAGGCGAGTACACATATTAAAGGCTGACGAGCTTTCACAAGGGATTCATTAGTTGTCAAACTACAACAAAAACGATGCAAAACATTTCCCCGTAGCCTTACACGGATAAAAACTCTACGGGCAAGCGCGGGCTCCACAGCCTCAATACATGCAATACTGTTTGCTGCTATTGAAAACTGTGTGCAACAGTGTAATGCCCTTTTGTCGTGATGCATTTGCGTGCGCATCAACAAATTGCAGCGCCACACATCTATTTCCATCTCAGCTGCGTTTCAGGCTAACTCGGTCATCTTCCTTAAGTAGTTCAGTAAAATCGAGCGTTTTGCAAATAATACGTCCATATTGCCAGTTCGATGTGAAGACAAATAAAATGCAGCAATGAAAGCAGCACCGAAGGCGGCGATGTCACTGTGCAGCAAGCAGGAGCTGCATCAAAAAAAAAAGCCGATTGTGATGAATGGAGTCCATGAGCAGGCACACTCGTACTGCATATCAAATCATTTAGTGTACTTCTAGGCACTTGAGCATTGTGCGCATCAAATACTTCACCATCCGTTTCGGCTTTCTGTGCAGCTTATGATAATGTCCGCTGCACCGCAGTTTCTCCCATTTCCATTGACTGTCCCGTTCTGTTTGCCTTTTGACCTGAGGTAATTTTATGCTCGCATGGAGTGCAGTTTTGTTTGGTACTTCCAACAGTCATCGAGCCTCTGAGTTGAGCTGCAACCGCAGATCACGATGGTGAAGTGGCACAGCCCGGAGCCAACAAAACGACCTCTAAGGCTTTTCGACCCGCAACGAGGAGCATACGCAGCTCATGGCGACGAATGAGGTGAGTCCAGAGCCATTGACACAACTTCTTTGACGTTTTTTGACAGAGTCTTTGCCGACAAAATGCGGTGCAGCTGGCTCTCGATCAGTCGCTGACGGTGCGCGTTGTATCTCCTCCACTGCAGGAACAATTTTGCCCCCCGGGAAGCTGCAACTGGATTTATACGGTCGACCTGTACACAGAATTAACAAAGAGCGGAGGGCTCATCATCACAGAGACACTCGGAGGATGCTGACTGGAAACAGACTAGAGCCCCACTGTGCATTGAGTTGCGTTCTACTTGCTTGCTCAAATGACGCAAATCGCGAGACGAAATAAACTCGCTTCATGTGCTTGCCGTGTGGGTCCACACTTGCTGATGTTTCTTAGCGCACGGTTAGACTGTCCGTACACTAAAGCTATGACCGCTCACTTCAAGGATAACGTTGGCTAGCAGTTCATATCCCTTCCCATCGCTTCTGTGGAAGTGCAAAGGATTGAGAGAGGCGAAGGTGAAAATCAAAGATCGCAGTCTATTGGGATTCTTTAGAGAAAAGGCCGGATGGTTCAGGAGCTCTGCGACGCGTTCCACCTGGTCCGGAAGGTCTGAGCGCGCCTGAGCTCTGAACCATTTGTCTAGGACGAGAGGATCTCCTGGGCAGCATTACATAGTCGCATAAGTACGGGGACAAGCTCAATTCACACAAATGTACTCTAGCTTGCAGTGGCGCATCAGGTTTATGCACGCACCGCTGACGAAACTGATACAGGATTTTTCCGTTGCATGCGCTTTGGTCTTATTGTTCTTTTCTGAAGTTATAACTAAACATACCTGCTGCGTCTTCATAGAATCGAGCAAATGCAGTCTCCCTTTCCGCTGTTGGAATGTTTCCGAGCGTGATTAGCCCCGCGTATCTATCAGTCATGCATTTTGCATCTGTGAAGTGTTTGACGGCTCTATCGACAGCTTCCCTGTCTCGGCTCTCCGACAAGAAAAACAGCAGAGTGTTCCTCAGCTTCCTTCTTCCGGTACTTTCCTCTTCCATGTCGTCCTCCTCACCTGCAGGAAGCGTCAGGTGTTCGTATTCCTTAGCCATTTCTGTCTTCAAAGCGGCAGCCACGTCTGCCTTGACAGATCGAATCGCCAGGTGCAGTGCTTCTGGGTCGATGGTCTTCATATGAGTGGAAAGCGTGCTCCAGTCGGGAAGCTGCAGCAGTAGTGCCTGAAATTGGGGCCGAGTTAGGCCACAGAAGAGAACAACAGAACGCGAAAATTCAAGAGCTTGACAAGAGCTTTGCGACGTCAGAGCACACTGCTCCCGCCACACCGAAGCTTGGTTTCAGTATGGAAGCAGGCGTGAGTTTCGTGCAAAGTGCCCGTCGACTTCGTTCCTCGTCTTCTTGTTGCAGTCTAGAGATACTCGTGTTATTTCCCTACCCACTATCACGCGAAACAAATCAGAATATGCAGACATCCGCAGATGCATCTTCTACAGTGTTCGTCGTAATTCGAAATCACATTTGAAGCGTAAGCGCCGAATTAAAATCAGCCGCAGCCTTAGGGTAAACCGAAGTAATCAGGAGTTGAATACCTTAAGCGCATTATCGAGCGTGTTGTCTGTAAGGGTGGTCCTTAGCGCATCAATATAAGCCCCCGAAATTTGTTCGAAAATGCGAACGTTTTTGTTTGCGACAACTTGCGAAGCCCGCGAAAGAATGATGGGAGTGGCGAGTGCCCTCGAGGCAAACCATTTCGTCACTGGGTCACTGTCATATGCCATCAAAAACGCCATATCTTCTTCAGTTTGGTGAGGGTTCACCAATATGACGGGAGCCGAAAACCCTCGCAAAATCGATGGCACGCAGTCCTCGCTGATATTGTTGAGGCGGAAGGTCTGTTCCTCTTCTGTCATTTCCAGAACCTGCAGCAATGCTCAGCCAACATGAGCAGCAGCTACACCCAAGTAGCTTACGTGGAGGGACATAATTAAGTAAGGGCTGCAAATATATGCATACAGCGACGGGGAGATAAAGGGAGATACATTTACACTAGCCCAAAAGTAACAGGGACACAAGCGAGAGCTCTATTACCACAGGAAACTAAACGACAGGCGATTTGCATCATTGTTTCCTTGGCTTGATAGCTGTTGATCTGGGCATAGCTGTTCATGTCATATGCACGCCATCCACATAAATCTGGTAAGCTATCGGAAATTCGAGCATCCACAGCGACCTTGGGTGCCTATGCCCAGTTTTCGCTTTGATACCCCTCCCCTCTCCACTGCCAGCTTAGCCCCAGCAAGAGGTAGCATTTCGAGCCGTGTGCCTGTCTCTGCTTATTCTGTGTCTCTTTGACTATTGAATTTAGCTTGTCTGACCACTGCGGGCTGTACAAGTTCTCTACGCGAAGTTTTGCCGATCAAACCCATTTTTATGGGAATGACTTGAGGTAGCTTCTTGTTCTGTCCGGGAGTTGCTGGAGTGTACTGCTTGAAACGAATTTCGAACACTTTTGTCTCCTTGTTCAACGCGGCCTTCAGAACTTCCAGACGGGGAGTTCCAGCCTTGAGTCAAGCGATAACAAAAGGAACAACTTAGTACAATGGCCAAACGGGAAAATGAATGGGAAAATAAAGCAAAACGCATGATGAGCACAGCTACTTAGCTATTCGGCATGTCATTAGTTGAACAACTCCTAATATACGAGTGACAGGCGACCACTATATCTGTGAGAGAAGCGGACATCCAGAGAGCTACAGGAACAAAGATATTAAATGCCACTAACATGGTTTTACCACATGGGTCACCAGGCATGCCGCCTCCACTGTTGCATATGCTTGCAGGACGATTTTATGTTGTGTTTCATAACCAAAAGAAGCCTTTCAAGCCATGCTTAGTACATAGTTTTAGCTAGCTACTTGAAAACATTGACGCTATCACACGGCTTCCGATGCGTACGGCTGCCACTTAAATTCAAGGGTTCTCACTTGGGTATACCAGCGTTCCATTTGGTCCAAATTTACACCATTTGAGTCTGCCATCGCTGCGCGAAAGTCATCACAAGTAGCGGCCTGGTTGTCGTGGCGTTGGAAATATAAATCCATTCCCTTTCGAAACCCTGGGGTGCCGAGCAAGGTGTGGTATCTGAACAGTAGGGAAAAAGAAGCAATTAAATATTTCTCAGCACAGCGCAAGGCAACACGGTAGAATCCAGTTAAATGTGGCTGGCATTAGAAAATGACGGTGAGTGAGCTTCCAAAGAAATATTTCTGGTACAGTCTCTGCACGCTTAACGGGGCGTAATATGTAGCGGTAAAGGGGGGGGACAGAGGCTTCGTCGCGTACACATTACGCAGAATAGCCAGCACCAAGTTGACGAACTGAGGAAATGCGTAGATAGAACTTACATGCGCACAACCTCTGCACCTTTATCATAGACAGTAGCTGTGTAAAAGTTGTCCATGGCTAAGTAGCTTTCAGGCCGAATTGGGTGGGCCATAGGTCCGTCATCTTCGGCAAACTGTCTTGAAATCAAGTCTGCAACTTCTTGAATACGTTGCACTCCGGCAGACAAGACAGAGCCCATGAATAGTTGTTCGCGGAACACAGTTAAGCCTTCCTTCAAGGTCAACTGAAACCAGTCACTGAGAAGAGAATAAAGAAAAAAACGGTAAAGCGTCAGATAGAAAGCTACTTCGTACTTCGCTTCTTAAAATAAAACGTGCGTTTCTATGCTGAGAAGCAAACTCTGCAGCGCACAAGTATGCTGAAGTGCCTAGCAAGAATCACTTCAGCAGTAATGCCAGAAGTAGCACATGCCGCAGGAGTCATGGTGAGAAAAGCATGTACAGAAAACTGCCCCTTCAGAGATCGCGGAAGAATAAATAGGCAACAGTGGGACAATACCGGACAGTGACGCGGTTGCCTGTCCAGTTGTGGAAGTACTCATGGCCAATAATAGCAAGAACACGCTCGAAATCCTCATCTGAGGGCAAAAAGAATTATTACTGTTATTAGGTCCCAAACGCTAGGCCGTGTACCCTAAAGAGAAGTTTAGTCCTAGGAACATGATGCATCATAAAGCATTTCAGGAGCCAAGCAGGGGGATGGCCTCTGGCTTAGAAGGCAAACTAAGAAGCCTGTCAGAAATTTTGAAACCGTCAGCATCAGAAACTGCTGAACTGCTACACTGCTGTAGGAACAGTAAAAGCTGTAGCTAAACCGCGAGCAACAACAACAACAGGAGTAGCTGTAGAATGTTCGTTGGGGCATGTTAGATGACCTGTGCTGGTGTCCATGCTCGCGAGGAGTAGAGTGCAGTTAAATATGTTGAGGCCCTTGTTCTCCATTGCTCCCGCATTGAAATCCGATACACAAGCAACGTTAAATGCGTCCAAATCGTACTCCCTTCCGAAGTTGTCCTCTTCCCATTTCATGCTGACCTTCACGCTGTGCATCGCCCAGTTCAATTTATGCAGTTGCGCCGGCTCGCTGTACACTGCAAGCGCCACGTCTTTGCCGCTCTGACAAATTCAGAATTACATGTGCACAAACGCGGACACAAGTTTGAATGATAACCAAATTGAAGCAAAACGGTGGGCAAAATAATGAAAAATATTCATACTGGGAAATTGGGGCTCAGACGGCTGAGGCTGACTTTGGTGGTGAAAGTATCTCTTATAGCCTCGAAATTGCCAGCTAGAATGGCAAAAAGATAGCTTGGTTTTGGGTGGGGATCGTCAAAAACAGCGAAATGGCGGTGCGGGGCATCTTCTACAGGACCCTCGTCTGCCTTGTTGCCGTTGCTGAGGAGGATAGGGTACTTTGCTTTGTTTGCCTCCAGTCGAACCTGCACATAAGGCCCGAAAGAAGGGGCGGAAGGAGTACTACATTGCTTAAATGAAGTAGTAATCACTGCGCTATGTAATAATGCTGGTGAGGCAAAGGGTGCCACATTTGTCGCATTCTTGGCAACATCACATGTGAGTGACTGGACGTTCTGGACAGCAGCTTCTCGTCTGTTTTTTGCCTTTGTGACTGTCAATGAGGGCTCGCATTAACCACTGTGCGAAGCAGGCTGAGGAGGGCCTAAAGTTTGATCAGAAGCATTTTCGTACTTTGTATGTCGCCATTACATCGGGTCGGTCTAAGAAGTAAGTGATCCTCCTGAATCCTTCAGCTTCACATTGCGTTACGAGGGCCGTGCCGGAAACATACAACCCTTTCAGTTTGAGATTTGTTACAGGATGTATAGATACCTCAGTTTGCAGTGTAAAGGTCTCCCCAGCATCCTGCGGAAGAGCCTCTTTAGTTACGATCAGAACGTCGTCAGAGCCTAAGCGGTAGCCTTCCTTTCCACCCTGTTTTGCAGCTCCCTCATCGCCACCCTTGGGGTTCTCTTTTAACTCTTCAACCACTTTTCCATTTACCTTTAAAGAAAGAAGCTCCATATCTTCGCCATTTAGCACCAAGTCTGTGGGGACAGTTCCCTCCGCGCGTTTCAAAATTATAGTTGCAAAAACCTGCAAGATGATCGAAGCCTCAAGCTCTAGGCTGTAAAATCTGAACGCTAGATCATAGAGCCCTGACGCAAAACAATGCAGCTACTCACCTTCGTGTTAGCGTCATCGAGGAGGAAGTTCAAGTCTACGGATTCAACAGTGAAGTCGGAAGGTTTATATTCATCCCTGAATTTCTCCCCTGGTCGTCCTCTTCGCTGGGGCGAGAGACCGTGGGTTGCTCCTTCGGAGGAATCCTTAGTTTCCTGCGTGCTTGCTGTGTCTGGCGCTTCCGCTGAAGTTGGCTGTGGCGTTTTCAATGGGCCTTCATCTGCTTGCTGACGGTGGAAATCTGCCCTCAGCGCGTGCGGAGTACGGAAGGGCACCTCCGCCTCCTTCGGGCCTGACTCTGCAGCAGGAAGTTGTCTGCCTCCCTCTTTATCTTCATGCTCTTCTCTGTTAGCTTCTACTGGGGAGTCAACAGCCGCGGCTGCGGCCATCTGGACGTTGGGGAACATAGAAAGAAAAGAGTTGAGGGCTCCATACTCATCTGAAGGGTGCCTGGACCGCTTTAGCCCCGTTCTCCATGAGATGTAGGGGGATAGGCTTAGCAACGACGACGCAATGGCTGAGACTGAAGGTCTCAAATGCAAATTTGGGGCATCTCCCGCTGCTGACGCTAGGCAACCTTGCAATGAACGCGCAAAAATGGAGATAAGAGCGACAGGACATTGTTCAACAATAACAGAAAAAATGTGTAAATAGAAGCATTTTCATTTATTATTATTTGCGTTTGGGCCTATTGTCCTTTTTACAGAGACAGGTGTTTGCCTACAGCTAATTCCTTGCCACACTGGTTTAAAGCCCGCATACGCTGGCTCAACCAAATGATTAATGGGCGAAAGGTTCAATTTGAATTTCCATGATTACTTCAACTCACCAGACTCTGGTGTTCGGGAGATTTCATAGAGAAGGAGTGGTGTTGCAAAGATGGACAGGTGAAACGTCAAAAGCTTCATTTTTCCGCCGAAAAAAGATGTAAGACAAAAAAGAGATTAATGATGTAGAGAAGACTATAAGATTGCTATAAAACAACTATTTCCCCCTTTAAGGGTCTACTGAGACTGAAGTTGCAAGGTTCTGCTTGTAATGGAGAAACGCACCGCGCCTCTGGCAATGGTCACGTGTTGCTGAGCGATAGAGCACCAGTGGTGACATGCAGTTCTGTTACTCCTCTCAGTCTTTAGCACCAGAGGCAGACAAAAACATAAATCAACAAGGGATTAATTGCAAAATTCGACTGACGTAACGATGTGAAACGCGGCCGGTCGTGTCCCTCTCGTTCATATACAGAGTGTACGAGATGTGAACACGTCGCCTTTTGCCCCACAAGCCTCGCCTGCTGAGCAGCTGCACGAATTTCTCTCCATATGTAGATGTAAGAAGTCAGATTTAGCAGAGACTAAATATTTCAGACAGTAGAGAATTGGCCTCATGTGCGTTTCGCCGGAAACAGACAACACTCCACCCAGCCGTTTCTACCTTGTTACATGTTTACCTCCCTACTGCTCCCAGCGTATCTCAGCAATCTGAGCTCGTCACTGGCCAGCTGCATTTCTGTATCCTGCGCACTGTACGCTGGCCAAGAACACCGGCACTGCATGCTCTGCATGAGCACCAGAAGTACGAACTCAGTTCCCGATGTCTCTCAGGAATGCCGTGTCGAACCTGGGACAACGCCTATAGTGCACAGGGAAAGAACTGTCGAAAAATAGCCATGGGCGGGGTCTCGAAAGGTTATCTGGAATGCGCAACGAGTATCATTAAGGTCACGAGACGAAATCTAGTTAGAAAGGAAGATTGTGACGGACAAGTACCGAAAACGTCTGGACTCAGTGCGAGCCATAGACACAGTGCGACATGCATCCACATGTCCAAAATCTATGGTGTTGAAAAAATGCATGCCTTGGCATCCCTTTGCGTATTAATAAACAAACTCTCGGGGCGGACAGCGCGACCCTCCATCGCAAAATTTTCAAGGTTTTGGCAGGCATCAAAGCGCAGGCTAGCTGTCGGGTGTGGTCGGCTAGGGCTGCTGCTGGTATTCGTCTAACACTGAGCTACAAACGCTTCATCAACGCCCATGTGAAGTGTAACTCTGCTGTGTTCGTCACGTCCACGCAGAAACAAAAAGTTGTGTCATTTCTGTGCCGGTTGTGAGCTCCATAAAAAAATGGACGCAGTAGACATCCTCCGCCACTGAAAATCTTAGCAACTCGCTTAAGATCCTGTGACAATGTTGTGTGGACCGTGCGTGGGCTCTTCCCAATCATCACCCATCCCCTCGAAATCAAGCAAGTACGCCGCTGAAGAAAAAAGCACAAGCACCACCGTCCCAAGTAGAAAAACAGGTTTACTGTTCACCGTTCGCACGTTCTTTCCTGATACAAAGCTGTGGCTTGGCGTTGTTTCCCCCATTGCATTTCTTGTCGATGAAGCAGAAATCCTCTAGCCGGCCAACAGCAGCAAGGGGACACTGCTTGCCTGTCAATGACCGAAGTACCTTCTCTCCCTTCGCCGCCAGGATTGTCTCCACGTCGCTCTCCTCATCCCCAAACCATTTCAGACGGTCTGCCACTAAATGGACTGCACCCACAAACATGCAGTATAGAGCCTGTACGCCTATTGAAAGTATCACGAAATGAAGGGATGTGATTTGCGCAGCTCTTCGCACCTTGTGTAGAGATTCGTGAAAGGTGGGCAAATAAAAAAAGAGCCAAACTAAGCCAAATTATACCGCTCTGCGCTGCATCCAGGACTACTGAGAATTTCGACCGTACGATTGCTGCAGCCGGGACACCGCACGATCACCACCCCCTGTGTATATGCCACCTAAGACATAAGCGTTAGCAACACAACAACGATACTACTGCTGCAGATGCAACAGTGTCGGCTGCTGCTGCCGCTGCTGCAAATTGTCGCTGTCGCTATTGCTCTCTACCGTCTATTGCGCTGCTCAAGGGCACGCAGAACAGTACCAGACCTTTGAAAATTTCTTGGCCGATCTTCTATTGCACTTGCAACAGGTGAAAACTAGAGTCATCAGACCGTCCTTCGCGTTTTCTGTCCCGGGAATTCGCGAAAGATCAACACGGACGAGTGGGCCCTCATTCGGCTCCGTAGGCAAAGATTGGCTCTCATTCGGCTCCGTGGGCACTGGCTGGCCCTCATTTGACTCCTCAGGAGTCCGCCCTGACAGCTCCCCTAGCTGTCCATCTGCGCCTTCCGAGGCTACTGCTGCCGCTCCAGTTGTTCCTGAAGGAACCGTGCTTAGCAGCCTCCGGATCGGGATCCCGCAGAACTGGGCATGGGAAAGAGATGACACCATGGGTCCGGGTACACCGAAGGAGTTAAGGTGCCTCAATTGTGCCCTCCTCGTTGGTACTGTCTCCCGTGTTGCTGTTGCCGCTGGGCATTCAGCAGACTCTCTCGCAGCTGGTGCCGGCGACACATTGCTCAATCTAACAGGAATCATCCAGCTACCTGTATCCGAAGTTCTTCCTGTGAGCACTGAGTTGCTGTGCCGATCTTTAGGAAACCCTGGATGAGCAGTGGGGGCCCCATTGCGCACCCTTGCGCAAACCCAGAACGACGGTTGCCTTCTGAGTGCTTGCATCATGTTAAGAGCCAAAACAGATTTCATGTGTACATTGCGCAATGCGATAATTAATGTTCCTGAGGCCACCACTGAAGAAGAAGACCAAGGACTATAGGCTGCCCCGAGTAAGGGAAGGTAGCAAGGGCCCTCGCGGCACTGCTTCCGAGGCAAAAAAAGGTTATACCCATCGCTAATGCATCTAAGTTAAGGGAACGATGAGATTTAAGGATGCAGAAGCCTGACGTAAGCAGTAGTTGCTCCATGACGCGGCAGCAGCGTGTCAAGTTAGGGCCCCACAATCCAATGGGTCTCGAGACACATTAGCTCGACTGCTGCTCCAACCTTGCTGCGCATCCAAACTAAACGTGAAGCAAAATATATGAGTAAATTTGTTTAAGGGTGTAACACGTATTTTGCAGTATCCCAGAAGATATGAGATTCTGAGCAGCTCCACCTGAGCCGCAGTCATGCTTGGAAAGGACCAACACATGAAGCCCCCACCGAAGAAAAACCCAAGGCTAACTTTTAAGGCTTCTAAATTCAACCATTTGGGGTTCACCGCTCCCTGGCTGCTTCACCGAAAAAAGAAAGCCTGGAGAACCTCCACAGCCGTGAGCCCAGTTAACGCTTTTCTGCGCAGTAAGCAGCGGCAGCTAGCGTTGCCCAGCTGCAGCCAGTTCTCGTGATAGCAGGTGCGGTATGTACGGCCAACTAGGTACCCAAACTGCTTTGAAATGGGAAGTGCTCGCGGCTGCCTCTCCGGACATAGCTTTGGCGCTCGCCCATCTGAGCCGGAAGATTGCGATTTCCAGGATCCTCTAACCTGTAGACCAACACATTGTAAATGCCCCTCTATCACACAAATTCTGTTGCGGCGCTCTACCGCATCACAGCTTCCCATCACCTGCATCTAAGCCCTACGTGGGCTCGCTGACGCTGCTCCGCTCTCCACACTGTGACTGTTCTCTCTCTGCAACGGTCACCGCGTCCATACTTCCGCTAAAGCTACTTTTCGCCGTGCCGCTCCAGAAAAGTACGAGCCCGCTCCAAAAAACCTGGCCTAGGAGCATGCGTGCATGCAATGCTGCAGTACTTCATTGAAGGATGGGAGAAGGGCCCTGCTCATGGCGCTTCAGCTCTAGATACGAAGCGCAGACGTGTAACAGTTCTACTGACTTTCCTGAAAGGCAGCACTGACGTTTCATCCGCAGTCCCCCTTACTAGCTCAGGAGTTATTTGGGCCTGCGGTTGAACGCCGGGTTCCCTGCTGTCGGGTAGAACTCTCGGTGAGCCATAGGCCTTTAGCTCCGTGCGCCGTGAATCCTCCGCTGAGCATTGAACGGTGCTGTTGCGATTGCCGCACATACATGCGCAGGGGCCTCGTAGACACCTGCGTGGGCATCCATGGGGGCAAAAATATCGCCGACCGCTGCCTAGTACCACTGTAGGGACCTCTGTAGCTTCAACGAAGGCGGCCAAACCCTCTCTTCCATCATAATTGAAGGCTCCACAGACACTTGAAGCCTTTGATCTTGCTACGGGGCCGCGAGCTACTGAGGCAACAACTGACGGAGAGGTGCACCGAACCAATGCAGCTAGTTCTGCGTTGCTATTAATGGTGTTCAACGCCTCAGAGCACCCAACCAATGCAGCTAGTTCTGCGTTGCTATTAATGGTGTTCAACGCCTCAGAGTCCTCAACCCCTACAGCTAAGATCACTTCTTCAGCCCTGATCCTATCTAACAGCAGTGTGATAGGTGTGCCCAGGTAGTTGGTCTGCATGCTGCTATTAGGGTTCCCTCTCTGTGGCAGCTTTCTTGTCCTCGCGACGACTTGTGAAATTCCTCTGTAGTTCTGATGTCCATCAACACAGTTGCTGCTGCTGCTGCAGCTGCTATTGCTGTCGTTGTTACTGCTACTGGCGGCAAGCTCCCCTTCGTGAATTCCTTTTTCTAAGCTTGGCCCTGTTACGACAGTGCATGCACACAAAGGCACGGGCAATGGCTCTAGAAGGACTGCCTTTTGCGGCCTTATGCCTCTAACAAATTCGAGAAGCGAAGAAAAAGAGGAGTGAGATGACGCCGATACCGAATGTACAGACCACGCTCCGTTTCGAAAGGGACTGCCGCCTAAACACACGAGAGCGCACTCTGCAGCCCATTCTTAACCTCGGGTTCTGAACTTGTCATCCTGAGCAATGCACTGTAAGACGTTGATCCAACGCCTTGAACAGCATCCACCCTCCAAACACGCATGCAGACGCACTTGGCTTTGTCCCCTGAATCCTTCAAAGCATGCAGAGATGCTTGTCTACTACTCCATATCGGCAAGAAAAGACTTTAATGTTCGATGCACCCGAATATTTGCGCTGAAGGCATGTATTATGGCGAGGCAGGGCTTACCGGATGGAAGCAGCCCCAATGCAGGTAGTCCTGATGCCTCGAGGGCACTAACCACTTTCAGTAGCATCCGCCGAGGCACCGCGAACAAAGACACGGCAGCACGGCTAGCTTCACCAGACAAGCCAACCAACATTTCCCTTTCTTCTCGGCTCGCTTGATGCCAGGGCTGCTCCTGTGGATGACCTGGCCGAGCTGCGCTCCGTGACTCATTAGACCATGGGCAGCCGCATGCAGGCATTTCTCTGGGAGCAGTACTGTTGTCACTACTGCTTCCCCAGCCTGTGGAAGTAAGTATCCAACTCATGACTGCTCCAATTACTGGACAATAAAGGCCAACTGTAAAGGCCTCAATGCTGTATGCGCAGCTGTCATTAGCCTGAGCAGCAACAGCAGCAACAGCTGCAGCGGAGTCATAGTGGGCCTCAGAAAGTCCTATGGGGGGCCTAAGAGCCTCTCCGAGCTGCTGCAAAAGATATTCCTTCCCCAAATTGTCTACGCCCACAACAACATGCAGACTACGGCTTCGATGGCCCCGAAGGAGGCGCTTTACAGGTCGCGTTCGAAGAATCTGAAAGACGCCCTCAATAGTGACCTCCACCTGTTGGCACATTTCGGCAACAGCGTCTTCCTTAGAAAGAAAGGAGAAACGGGGGTGCAGGTAAGCGCTGTCAAAGTACAGCACGTCTGCATGGGTCTCCTCCTGCTGTGCGACAACTCTCTCAGGGGTCCAAGCAAACCCGACGTTTCCTGAACGCTCTCTAGCACCCGATACGGAATCATCCGAAGCAGCTGCAGCAGCTGCTGTTGCTGCTACGGGATCTTCTAGCTGCTGCAGCAGCCGTAGCCCCTGCTGCACTTGCCGCAAAAGCGGCTGCAAATTGCTTCCGGTGCAGCTGAAGTCGCCAGTGTGTACGTAGGACCCCACGGGAGCGGAGCGCAGAAGCAGCATAGCAGAGCCAGGACAGTGCCTTGCATCCACCAGCTGTATGAAAACTCTATCTACAATAGAACCGCAGCAACATTTGTTCCCACTATCACTGCTGCTGCTGCTTAAGGCAGCGGATGCTGCGCGTTCCAAAAAGAGCACTGGATCTCGAATGGGAAGCGGCATTGCCTGCCGCCTCCTGCTGCAGCAGCATTCCCTGCTGCACAAGCTACCGTTGGCACTGAACACATGTGCTTCTTTCACTTCTTTGGACACTTCGGGTCTGCTTGCTTCTGTATCATCCTCCACGTGGAGTCCCGAAGGTGACTCTGTCTTAGTATTTGCCTTTGGGAAATGCAGCGGAAGACCATTAGTTTGGGACTGCACTTCATGATATGATGCACTGGGAGATCCACAGAAACGGTCCTGCCCGGCATTCTGTGAAATTCATCGGATAAGGAATAAATAAGGCGTCTGGAGCTTTAGGGGCAGCACCAAAGGACGCAGCTGGGGAAATCTGCGAATCAACAACTGGCCCGTTATTTCAGTGCAAACAATGGGGCCTCTGGAGCTCCACCGGGGCTCCCGTATGGTGACCTGGGTCCCATTACTGCCTTTAGCCCAAGAAGGAATAAGGCCTCTCAGATGGTCGGTATGCGCATGCGTCAGCACGAAAAGACTGGGCAAGCATTCTTCGGACCAAGTACAAGTACGCGCCTCCCCAACTTGGCAGTAGTCCGCTGGCGGCACATTTGGCCTGTGTGCGCCTCTTGGAGATAGGAGGCTGGCGGCTGACTGCTGAGTCCCCGTTGAGTTCCCTGGGGACTCCGCTGAAGGACTTTGACCGAAAAAATCCACGTAAACATTCAAATCCTCCAATGGAGCAGAAAGGGGCATCTAGTGTGGAGAATTAGCCCCCTACTTTGCGGGCAACCAACGTCTCCACAAGACCCCTGTAGGGTAAAACCATGCTGGGGTGAGCAGAGATCAAGAAACATGAAAAACACCTGGCTCTGAATGTTCAGACAGCTCGTGACATTTGATTGAGTTTCTGTGGAGTAGAACACGGGAAGGATTATGACAGGTCTTCAGCCCAAGACAACGCGTGGAGGGCAGCCTGCAACCCTTCGTCTGACAGCTTCTTTGGTCAGCTAACTCTGTATTTGAGTCTGTACCTGTTGAGATGCGATCCGTTTGAACAAAATACAAGCAAGAAGAAGACGAAACAGAACGATCTCCAGAGGACGCTGCCAGGGCCCGTGGTTGACTAGTTGGGGCTTGGGGCCCTTGCTGCTCTCTCGGGTTTTCTTCGTTTCTTCGGAGTGCATCAATGAGCATCAGCCAACTTTCTGCAGGTAGCCAATCTAATGTAGTAATCGCTGTAATGTTCTTAATTTGTTTTTGATTGACTAACGACACTTGCCCACTGGGGACCCCAACCTGTGTCCCTCAAGGGGCCCCCTTGTTCTCTTTGTGACGCTCTCAAGACGCATTTGCCCAAACATACTGGGAAAATAGAACTCCATGCTTGTCCCAGGGACTTGTGGGTAGTATATGCTCATCCTAAGGATATGTGGTGCCGCTAACATTGAGGAAGCTGCAGAAAGAACTGCCGTCACCGCCGCTCTTGATATTGCAGAGAGGGCAGGATATTGCACAACACTGAAGTTGCCGATCCTTTCGTCGCAATGAACGGTCGGAATGCCATCCAACAGCAGCAGGCGGAGCAGTCGCAGCAGGAGCCTCAGCAAGAGCAGCAAGAAAAAGGGGACGAGCACCAGCAAAAACTCAAGCAAGAAAAGCGTGAGCGCCGTCAGCAGCAGCAGCAGCGGCGGAGACAGCAACTACAAAAGTGCCGTCGCCGTCCTGAGTCGCTACCAGTCCCCTCAGCTCTACTAGGCGCCGCATTTGAGAGGCAGCACGTCGACTCTGTTTACGCGAAGATTGCACCCCATTTCAATCATACAAGGTCATCGACCTGAAGCGTTGGATCAGAAACACCATATCCTAAGCTCTAGAGTCCATCACGTCCTACAGCTCAGGCACTAGTGACCTTACGTTGATCGGGATGTAGCAATTGCCTTTCCCGCATGTATGGAGGCAGCGGAGCGTGGTTCTCTTTGATGCCAATAGCTGCAAATGAAAAAGCACATGCACGCATACTACATCATTACAGGCAAATACGTGCAATTCTGAAAAAGATAATACAGATTCCGAGTCTGTTTGCGTACGTATAGGAACCGGCCGTGGCCCAAGGTCGCAGCTTTCATCGAGTCGTTGCCACCCGACGCGCTTTTGCTGGATGTTGGCTGCGGCAACGGCAAGTACCTCCATTGTCGGCCGAGCATTTGTCACCTGGACAGCAGCAGCGGAGGCAGTAGCACCAATTGTTTCAGCCCGTACAGCTCATTGTCAATAGGCCTTGATAGGTCCAAAGAGCTGCTACGTTGCGCCTCCGAGGCTGCTGAGGGTTCTTTAAGGCCTCGACTTGTGCAGGCGGACTGCCTGCATACCCCTATGAGAGATGGTAAGATATGAATGCTAATTGTTTTGATATGGAGCTCAGAGTATACTTGGCTCCTTACTGCATGTTTTCTGTTGTGGGGCCGTTTGTGCGTGGGCTCCCAGGAGTTGCAGACGGTGTCATATGCATTGCCGTTCTCCATCATTTGACTACGGAGGAAAGGAGGTCAGCTTTGGTTCCTGCTGTCGCCGTTACTGCTGCTAGTGTTATGGCTGCTCAGCTGGTGCTTCTCCTTGGCGTCGTAGCTGTTTCTGCCTCGTGTAGGACTTCAAAGCAGTTGCTTTTCTTGCCCCTAATGTACCCAAAGACAAGTGGCAAAGTTCATTGTTGAATGTTGATGACTTCTATTGACGAGTTCCTGCTTCGGTTGCTACTGCTGCACTTGCTGCGGTTGCTTTCGCCGACACTGCGGTTGTTGCTGCAGCTTTCGCTGCCTCCACGGTTTTGCGGGAATCAGCACAGTTGCTCCTGTGCACTCCGCTACTGCTGATGCTACTGCCGTCACTGTAACTGTGCTGAGGGCTACTACTGTTGCTGCTACGAAGTGCGTATGCAGGCTACAGGCCTTGAGAGAACTGGCACGCATTACGCGATGTGGGGGACGCATCTTGATCTATGTGTGGTACGTGGAAACCCTTAACAGAGTACGGAGTCCTAGCCCAACAACGTCAGCCCAGGGCCCTTTCTCGTTGCTTAACACAGCCGTCCAACCGAGCGTGCTTGAGTGTTTGTGGACCGGCAGGGCACTCGAGCATCAGTCCGGTAGCGTTGGAGAGCGTAAATTTCCAAGTCAAGATGGTAGGCTGCTGCGGGAGCCGATTTTCACAGTGATTGGACCCTGTTGGAGTTCACGCATCTTGTGCTAGCCCTTTCTCTTCCATTTCTCGGTGCCGGCAATCTTACTGCTGTAACAAGTGGGCCAGCGAACCTGTGCTCTCTCCTGTTATTGCTGTGTTTGCTGGCATTGCTTCAGTATTGGTGCCATGGGTGTATCAGAAACATCATGAGCGCGCTCGCGAGCGTTCGGAGGGTGTGGCTGTTTGCCAAGGCACAACAGATACCGACGGGCCCGTAGGAGCCAACTCCTCGGCTGTTCCATCTCTAAACGACGAGGATACAGTATATCGGTTTTACAGAGTATTTACGAGAGAAGAGCTGTTGGGCCTTTGCGCCAAAGAAGAGCGGGTCAGGGTACTCGACTGTTACAACGATACGAACAACTGGGCAGTAGTGCTCGAAAAATGCACCGACCAGTAGACATCCATTCCCTCTGATCTTTTTCAGGGTCACTGAAGGTCCCACAGACAGACGCGCGTAAAGGAAGACCCACAAGAAGTGGTAGCTGTACACGTAACGAAGCTCCACAAAGGACCTGCTGGGGCGCAGGCAGCAGTTTCCCAGCATATCTTGACAAAGGCGAGAGGGCTCCACTGTGTGAAGTACGAGTAGGCAAGAGGCTTTAGATAAGAGGCACCGTTGCTGGTACGAGGCCGTTGATAGCGCACGTGGACGTAGGAACCGAGGCCGAAGTAGAGACAAACAGCTGCAGAGAAATGAGTAGAGCTGGGTGGGGAAATACTGCCAACACAGACGAAAGCGGCAAGCCGCAAGTCACCTGGCAGGCTGCCAATCATGAGGCAGGGGAGCCGTCGAAATACACAGCCGCCGAGAAGCGCGCAGCCGAATGGACGAAAATAAATGCTACACTACGCAGGGCCAGCAGCAGCCAGGAACAACGAGAGAGAGCGACTCAACAGCGGTACAGCATAACCTCGCAAACACTTCATGTTTTAAAGACAATTTAAAAACAGGAATTCGCTACCAAAGAGTGCTTTCTCTGGATATCTGTGGACGGTTCTTCGTGTCGCTTCCACTAGTCTTAGTTTCTGCGACAGTGCAACCTGTCCACCCGTTCGTCTCTCCCAAGTCGCGTAGCGAATCCATCGCCTCCTTTTAAGCGTCTTATATCTCGCTCATTTTCGTTTGAATTCAAAACGGGTATCCTAGAAAACTGTCTCAGTTCGGAGCCACCATGCTTGCCCATTGCTGGCGATGTGCACCCTTCCGCAGTTCCGGTTGCTTCGCGCTGCCTATTTCTGATGATACATGCCGTGGCGACTACTTTAAGTCATCTCTGACCTGTCTGCCTTTCTGACCCCTTCGTGTTTCCCTCTTTTCGTCTAATCCCCTTGTGTGCCCTTTGTACGCATCTATTAAGCTCTGTGTCTAATTGTGCTTCTCTACAAGCGTGTTTCCACCTTTAAGTGTGTAGATGCCTGCTTGCCTTCTTGGCTGTGCATCGTCTATCTGTCTTCCGTTATAGTCCCTGCTGCATGTCTCGTCTGTCGTGCCATTCCTTATAAGCGTGTGTTGGCGTGGCCAACTCTATTGTATCGCTCCCGTCTACTCCTTCAGTTGCCTCCCTGTTTCTACCTTCGTCGCTTTCGTCCATGCCGTAAGTGCCTAGCAGGGTGGGCAACCGAGAGAGTGCAACACGAGCTTCTCCCTTTCTCCTCACAGGGCCTACTCAGCCCCGACCAACTTTCGCTCTAAGCCGCGATAGCAGAACGCGCGCTACCCTCAGGCGGTTGACGACATATCCGTGTGGCATGCAGCGGCAAATCGAAGGCATCGAAAGCAGCAGCGGTGCCAGCTGATAATGCTGCTGACCCAGCAATGATCCTAGAGGAGCTACCCAGCCACATGTGGGCCGGTGGCTAGCTGCCTGCCAGCCACCGTACGGGACACTCCTCTACTGTTACACCCGTCTGTTCACGGGACCCCTTGTACAGCGGCATGATGCTGCTGCGAAAACTGCGGCCGAAACCTAATTCTGTGTCACTTTTTCGCACCTAGGAAGGCTGCCATGTTGCTAAGCTGCTGCATCCAGCTAATGCCTCCTGCTGGTCCCTCCTGTTGCTGTTGTTGCTGTTCCGGTACATTGCTCTGAGAGTTGCCAGTTTGCTGCTGCTGTTGCGGCTGCTGGTGCCATGATTGTGGCTGCTGCTGTTGCTGTTGCCACGGCTGCTGCTGTTGCTGCACCGGAGGGACTTGTTGCTGCTGCTGCAGCTGTTCCGGAGCCCACTGCTGCGGCTGCTGCTGTTGCTGCGGCTGCTGCTGCCATGTCTGTGTCATATTGAGCTGCTGCTTCACTTGTGCTTGTTGTTGCGGCCAGCTCTGCGGGAGCTGAGGTTGCTGCCATGATGGTTGCTGCTGCTGTTGCTGCCAAGGTTGCTGCTGCCACGCCTGCTGCACAGCAGGTCCAGGCACCTGCTGCTGCTGCTGTTGCCACTGTTGCTGTGGCTGCTGCTGCTGTGCCTGCTGTTGCTGTTCAGGTGGTGTATGTGAAGCAGGAGCACCAGTAGCGGCAGCTGCAGCGGCAGCAGTACCGGAGCTGGGGGAGGGACCAAGGAGCCCGATCATCCTGAATGGCACAATGCAAGCAACCCGATACGGAGTGTCCTGTTCCGCTGCTGCTGATGGCCTTGGTATGCGAGTTATGACTGGCAACACACACGATCGGGCGGCAACAGCACAGTACCAACAACAGCAATCGCACGGCCAAACCAGAGCTGATATCAGCATCGACGTCAAGCTTACACAGAGTTGCTGTTCCTGAGATGCTGCGGGAAGAGATATCTGTATTTGTCGAAGACTTGGAAACCCGGAGGCACAAAATACAAAAACAGTCCGCCGGGCAAACACGCAACGCCCGCCTGAAGCGACAGAGAGAACGCACAAATAGCAAGACTCCCAACTTGCAACAGTAACAGCATGCAGTTTCATTTCTCACAGAAGCGCCACATCAGCATCAGCTAATGATGCCAGCTCTCCGTTAACGAACGACAGAAGCCCAACATTGGCAGCAGTGTCAGTAACAGCAGCGCACCCGTTCCTTTGACCTGAAATATGATACGTATTCATTGAAAGGCGCTTCGTTCTCTGGACTCGCCGGTTGCAGCAGCACTGCTGCGTCCATTGGCTTAAGTGCCAACTCCTCGCATTTACTGCGGTGACTGACGTTCAGCATGCTTTGAAGCTGCGCATACATATGCCGTAGACCCTAGACACTAAGCTCTCAAACCCAAGAAAGCGCAAACAACCGAGAAGCTTGGTGTGCCTAGTCACCAAGTACCGCTGAGCAGGGTAAACCAGGATCAGCACAAGCACAAACTGCAGATCCATCAACAACAGCAAATGCAGCAGCAGCAGAACACTGGTTTACCTGTTGCAATTCCAGCGGCACTTCTCCCTGTAGGCAAAGGGCAGTAACACAAACCTTCTTCCGGTCGTTCCGACCCAACGCCCACCTCCACTGGGCGCCAGCGCTGCTGGGCCCTCCCTGCGACCCTCCAGCTGCCGGTGCCATGGCAATACCAGGGGCGCCAGAGGACATGTCCTTTGAATATGAAATGCCCTGACGTGAACGGTGCTGCTGCAGTAGCGGGAACAGCAACAGCGGCTCCCGAGCAACAGGTGCATCTAACTGCTGCGGTTGCTGCTGCTGCTGTGGCGGTGGTGGCTGGTGCGGTTGCTGTGGTGGCATTAGTCCATTGTGACCCTCCCTCCGATACATCTGCGACACAGAGTGACCCTCGACAAACCAGAAAATCAAACTGACTGCATGCACCGAAGATGGCCGCTGTCTGGTTGTGACAGCGCAGACCGAGCAAGGCAACTAATGCAGATGCGGCCGCAAGCACATGCATGCAAATTGATGCATGCACTCGTTATGGCGATACACCGTGACAAGACGAAACGACCCTTCGAAGCACTTCGATAACTGCTCTGTTCATACTGCACCCAATGGGGGCCGCTGCTCGTAAGACTGCGTACTGCTTCTTCATCGTGGCCCCAGTCCCTTGCTCGCGGAGGCTCTCCATCTCGCCGATCATCCTCCTGCGCACATAACCGAAGCCGCGAACTGAGCCCTGAATGCTAGAGTTTAAGCCTGCTGGCTGCCCAGGAGAAGACACTTTGTGACAATAGCATCTCTGACAACTAAGCTCCTCCGCTTCGATTTTGCATTTCATGTGTGCGACCAGTCGATATTTAGCTCGTCCATATAATCCTCACAACAGATCTCAAGGGTTGCCTGGCCCTCCTGTCCCAATCCCTGTCGTTGCGATGTCCCCCCCTTTCAATTTGTTGTTTGCCCCTATTGGAGCGTCTGCTATTGGTGCTGCTTCCGCCCGCGCCGGCAGTAACGGCTTCGCTGCCAGCCTCAGACACTGCATCATCTCCTCCGCTATTGCGTCCACCCGCACGGCCCCGCTGGTATTCGACACGAACACAGCGCCCCACTGAAGCAAAAGAAATTGACAACAACAAACAAGCGAAGACACAGAAAACGTGCATGCATGCAGGCGCGAATCCGAGCATCATGCGAGCACAAGAATATACATTTGAGCAACTGCTGCGTTGAGTTAACGTGCGGTATCCAGAGGAACCGATACGCCAGGGAGTAGTTTCGTGGAGGATATACAACGACAACAGAAGTGCAGGCAACGCGGATGCCGTCGTAGCCAGTTAGTTGGAGCTACTTAGCTGCCCCGGTAAATTAACTAATAAACAAGTTACCAAGGGAAGTATACACACAGAGAGGTGGGTGAGAAGCGCAATTTTATACTCACTAAATGTCTTCCCGTTGAGTGTTTCGAAGCAGCGTCTGGCATCCTCAGCGTTTTTATAGAGAACAAAGGCATACACTGCATTGGGCCCGACCCTCTGGTTGACCCTCAGAGCCACATTCTCAACCTCGCCGCATTGTGAAAAAAAAGCCTTGACATCTGACTCCCGTGCCTCCTTCGACACGTTGTGGATGTACAAATTGCGGCCCCCTGTAGAGCCTTGACGTGGGGGACCCTCCACACGACCTCGACCTTCCAAAGTCCAAGACGGAGGCGCGCTAGAGGGGCCACCGCTTTCATCGCCAACTGTGGCACTTCCACCTACTGATGGAGGCGGACCCATCATAGGGGGCGCCAGCCCAGGGGCTCCACTTCCTGGCAACAAGGCCTGTGGGGGATAAGGGAGGCCAGGCAGAAGCGGGGGTAGGGGGCCTCCACCAGTCGTTGACCCTGGAAATGCACCAGGAGGCATGCCGCCTAAAGAAGGCGGGGCTCCTGGTAGGGGCGGAGCTCCACCTGAGACGCCCGATGAGGCACCATGGGGTGTTTGGAAACTCCCGTCCATCTCTACGGGGAGGGGGGGCCCCTATTAACGAAACGAGGGGCCCCGAATTTTACCAGGGCAGATGTAAAGGTTTAAAGGGAGAAAGAGGAGCTAAATGCCCCCAAAGTGGCAAATTGGAGACTGTAAGACAACAGGAGTCGCCGGAGGGTAGGGGGCCCCCGCTGTGGTGTATTCGTCGTTGGGTATCAGAAGACTTTTGGTGCCTTTCGAGGGTTCCCTATAAACTCAGTCGGAACAAGACGGGAATTCAGTCCTATGCCAAAAACGAAAACGACAAAAGATGGAGCAATCCGTCGGCCCATGCTGCATGGAAGCCAGGATGGGAAATGAAAAAGTGGGGGCAGACGCAGGTCTACGATGCATACTTTTAGCTATAAACCCTCAAGTCTAATTGAAAGCTACTAATTCGAGCTTCTTAGTGCCCTTAAAATGCCGAGCGCTGGAGCCAGATGGCTGCCAAGTGCATGCGGCCCCCAGCAACGGAACTACCAACGAGAGCTGTTGATACCGCCACATGGGACATGGCATTCGTTGCATTTCTTACTAAATTGATCCTGTAGAGTTAACCCAGAAACAAGAAGAGCCAGAAATCTGCGTGCTGTGAAAGCTGCGTTCTCCTACCCGTATGCCCCACTCACGCTAGCTCCGTCAAAACATTCGTAGAAAGTAGGCGACATTAAGCACTTTCGGATTCACCGACAAAGCATGCGTGACACAAAGCTGTCGCGGCCGCTCATGAGACAGCGAAAGGCACAGAGAAAATCCATATGTTGCGTGGTGATTCTGACATCTCCCGCTAGCACTCATTTTCACGCATTTAAAGAGACACTGTGCAATACACAGCACAGTGATGTGACGGCCTCATGACGTGCTATAGGCTTAACGTTAGGCTGGGGGTTCCTGAGTGATTTGTGAACACCGTCCAACGGGAGGCATTGTAAGTTGGGGTCATGGTATAGAGGCAACCTGGAGGTCAGCTCTCGTTTTTTTGTGCATTGATTTACATGCCGCTGCCCACTTTACGGCGCAGGAGAAGGGAGTTCGACAGGTCATCAGTTAGTAGCAGCATAATTAAGGGAATGAAGCACTCCACATACGTGTAGCGAAGTGTACGCGTGCCTGAACCAGCTCTCCCCTCCACATGTGAATCGTCACACATTCATAGTTGGCGTGAGTCTTTGCTTAGTAGCTATCGTGCTTAGTAGCTATAGCCGCTGCCTCACCTACAGTATCTGCACGGTGGGAGCGCTTGTGACCATCTGCGTTTATTTTAACGTAGCTTGCATTGCATGAATTTCCATAAATCGCAAAGGAACATTTGACAGAGTGTTGCGAGATGCATTATGGTTGAGCTTCTTGATCTTGGGCACTGCAGTTCCCGCAAAGCAGCTGCTAGGAGGTCTCGGCTGAACAAACGTAAGGAATTCATACCACGTAGCAGCAGCTGCCAGTGAGCTCGCATGGTTGGGTAGTTGAAGGCTTCTTTCTTCATCGTAAAAAAGTGGTGTGGTGACGTGGACCCTGTGTCTCTCAAGATGAGCCAGCTTCTTTTGAACATCTGTATAGGCAGTATTGGCTATCGGTGCCTACGGGAGTTGCCTGTTCAGGTCCTATAGCCAGTAGGGCTAGAGAGGCAAACCACATTTTTGCAGTTGTTACTGCAGACCTACAATTTCTGTTGTGGCCTGAACCGTCACTGCTGCGACGCCGCCAGAGCCCGCGATGACATGTGGACCTTCAACACTGATTTGAACTAGATGCAAGCGGCGAATAACTGGGCTATTTAGGTTGATCGTGACGTAACATACTCTTTGCAACAGCGCTACAGCCAAAAGCTGTCCCCAGCAACACCTGTGAGTTTTCTCTGGGTGGAGTCAGCTCCCTTCCGGTGAGCGTGTTAGCCCTTGCCCGTTCAGCCCCGTTAGTGCCACTAGGCTTAGAAGAAAAACGAAAACCACATTAGTGAGCCCTAAATCTATTCATGAGCTTCCGCCTCTAAGATGAAGCCAATCACACGCACACGACTAGATACACAACAACACCGTTGAGTTGTCGTCTCGCAACACACAGCAATGCAGCATCGCCATTTCCCTCTCTATGTATCCTTTAGAAACGAGCTGTATTGAATCATGTGTTTCAAATGCGTTTCACCGAGGTGTTCACAGCTACTGCAACGACTACGTTCTACACGGAAAACCTGCTTTGTGCATGCACATGGGGCCGATAAGCCCCAGTGCAATTGGAGGAAGCCTTCTTAAATTTACCTGCTCCTAGTCTCCCTATTTTAATTTCATTGGGTTTAAGTAAAGCGTGGCTGTTGTAGTCTCCTCCCTCCTTCTTTCCTCACGGCGGAGTGGCGGTTTGTTAGCCCATGGCTTCGCAATAGTCTCTTCACCACCTTGTTTTATGGCCACGTTCCATCTCCTTTTCGGAAGGTGGGGGCAAATTTCCAACTTACCAAGGTTTGGGAGAAAACACTAGAGTTAGCAACAACGTGGGAAGGGCGGGGGTTGGAAGCCCCCAATAGTACTTGGGTCGGAGAGCCCCTGCCCTTCCTAACGCTGTTGTGCAACACTCTCGACTACACGTGAATAGGCAAGCACGTTCTTGAGAGTTGTTTGAACGAACGTGGTTTTTCGTGCAGTAATTGGCCCAGTCAGTAACACCACCCCGCCGGCCATACAGAAGAGATGGAACAAAATGACTTGATAGCAGGAGCTGCTTTCGGGCAGCAGCAATGCGAATCGCAGCAATATGTGTCGCCGGGCCTGAATCCAAAGGTTGAAGCCTGGCAGCTTGAGCTTCACTATTTGCTGGAGTCGATAGAGGCTTGCCAGCAACAGTTAGTTCTTCTCTCAGGGGCACACTTTGCAACAGGAGCAGCCGCTTCTGTTCCAGTTGGGGATGCAGTTGCAACAGGCTCTGATGCTTTGCCCGTCATGGGGGAATCCAGAACGCAGGAGTTAACTCTCGACTGCATCGTGCTGTTGTCCACAGACACAGCCACTCCGGCAGAGCGTAAACAGGCAGAAATGTCTTTGATGCAGCTTCAAGGCTCCCCAGGGTACCTCATTCTGCTGCTACAGTGTTACCTGCAGTGCACAGCCACTTCAGTGGCAGCAGCAGCAGTTGCAGCTAAGGGAGCAGAAGCGGCATCAGACCGATTGGTACAACTGGTTGGGAAACTGCCGAGGCCGACCACAGATGACACGGAAGCTGCCTTTGCTGCACTTGTGCTGCTCAAGGGAGCATTACAAGGCCGTCACACCGTAAGATGCAGGAGTAGGGTCCTTTCTGGCAATATTAGCGAACGTGTCAACCTTTAAAACTAACACTAGCTTTAAGAGAGCAGGAGAAGAATGACAAAAAGAGAGCAGCAGTGGCGCCTCCAGATGCGAGAAAAGCGGAAGCATGTTGCGAACTACAGGTTGCTTCCCCACAGTTGTTGTGTTTGGTTGCGACTACATCTTTGTTCATAGCCACACATGCACTAGCATGTACCTGCGCAAACTTCCAGTTGCTGGCTTCTGTTTGTTGTGGAGATGTCCCAGGAACGGAGCTCTAATGTTGTTCCCAATGTTCGGCGAGGAGAGCTGGCGTTCGTACAGTCGCTCCTGGTATGCCTGTACAAGTTGCTGGGCGTCCCTCAGTGCCCCCGTATCTTCAAAGTATATACGGCCCTCCTGCGGCGTGTTGCGCGGGCAGCGGCTACAGCGGCAGCAACAGCGGCAATAGTGGACAAACTGGAGCAGATGCTGTCGGAGCAGTCTGTGCAGCAGACCTTGAATGGTTACTGCAACTACAGCTCTTCCTGGGGAGGTGTATTTCCGCTCAGCTGCGGGGCCCAATCGCTTCAGCAAATGGCGCAGGAGGTAGCAGCATTGGATGGAGCAGTGCTGCTGCTGCTGCTAGAGACTACGGTTTTAAGATTACTGAGGGCAGCCCAGCAAAATGACGCTGACACTGCACTGTATGCGCATCTTCTCAAGCATCTGCTCAAGGTGAATGGCAGTGGAGCAGTCGTTCATCTGTGGGTATTTGGCTTCGTGTGGCTATCTGTGCCTGCCTTTCCCCACATTGCTGTCTGTGCGCTTGCCGTCGCACTTCTGCATGCGTTGGCTCCCCCTGTGCTTGCGCTCGTCCCTGGCTCTTTTTTCGCCCTGTGTGGCACTGCTTGCCTAATCCCACTAAGTCCGCTGCGTGTAGCCGATTTGTGTTCCGGCTCCTTTATCTACTTCAGGAGCGCTCATTCCTCTTTGTTGAGGCGTTCGCTGTTGCCGCAGGAGCTGGTAACGGTGAAGATAAGCACTAGGCAGTTGTTCTCCACCGTCTGCAAGGTCCTAGTACCTTTTCTGCGCCAGCTTGCAGCTGCTTTTGTGGGTCGTCTTCTGCCGTTCCTGAGCGCGCACCTTCAGCTATTAGGGGAATGGCAGCAGCTGCAGCTGCGACTCAACAGACATTTGGGATATATTCATGGAGGACCCTCGCAGCAACAGCAGGATCAGCAGCAAGAGCTCCAGTGGCTGCAGGGGCAAGTGGAACGCATGCAGCGTGAGACCTTCTCTCATAGCGATTGCTGGAAAGATTTAGCCAAGGTGAGATTACTGTTGAGACTCATTAAGTAGAGGGACTGGTGGTTGTTCCATCTTTGAATGTGTCTGTAGGTTTATTTTGGTACTGCTTGTGCTGCTTCTGCCGTAGCTGGTAGCCGATATTTCCAGAGCCTTGCTGCTATGTGAAGCCAGAGCTGGCAGAGCTTTAAGTGAAGTGGGAGATGTGGGAGCGGTGCAAAAGCTGCAAGAGCTACTGCTGCTACTGTTGCTGCAACAGCAGCAAGCGGGAAGCTGCATCGCATACACGGATGCCTCCGCAAGAATTGTGCTCAAGCTGCAGAAGGTGCTGCTTAGAGGTAAGAAGCATCATCAGCAACAGATGAGGCCCTTGAGATCAAAGATGCCGCTGGAGCATGGCCCGCCGACGCCGTTCTGCTGCTGCGGCAT